CCTGCTGCCTTGCTCTGCAGCCGTCTTGTCCATGTGTGGAGCAGCTCTAACCCCACCTCTCCCCCCTCCCCCCTGTCCCCCAGCAGGTGCAGGGCACGTGGGGGTACGTGGCACCGGAGTACCTGGCGGGGGCGGCGGTGAGTGAGAAGGTGGACGTGTATGCGTTCGGTGTGCTTCTCCTCGAACTCGTCACCGGCCGCTCTCCCCTCGGCGACTCCAAACTGGTCACCTGGGTGCGTGGGACACACATGCACATGCACATAGTCACACTCTCACGCTACTCTCCCCCACTCACGGCCTTGTTATCACTCTTGCAACTGGAATGTAAGTGGGATCCTGGGCCCTCCTGCTTCTTCAGCTACTGCTTTCATCTTCCTCATCTGAATCCTCGCTCACCTGCGCCTGCCCTCCATGCACTGGCAGGCGGAGGAGGTGGTGGCGAAGGGCGAGCTGGGGGCGCTGGTGGACCCGCTGCTGTTTGGGGACTACAACGAGGGCGAGCTGCGATGCCTCGTGCACATCATCTTCCTCTGCCTGCACCACCACCCCGATGACCGCCCCGCCATGTCCCACGTGAGTGCCACCCTGCTGTCAGCGGCACATACCCATGCTGCACTGTGCTGCTCTGAGCTGTACCCTCTCTTCGACCATGCTCCAGTCCCTGACCAAAAGTCCCCCTGCTCTGCCGAATCTCGCGTGACCCTCATGTCTCGCCATCTCTGCATCCCTCTTGGCCCTCACAGGTGGTGCAGCTGCTGGAGGGCGAGGCAGCAGGGCAGGCAGCAGGCGGGCAGATCACCCTGCCGCACATTGCAGTCTCCCTGCCGCAGTCCACCATGCCTCACATGAGCCCTCCTCAAATCTGACCTGCCATTGTTCGCATGCGTGCTCGTAACAGGAGTAGGAATGGTGGGTGTGAAATTTTCAGATGGGCTGATATTCACGTGTTGGATGTCTAATGAGCAAGAGGAAATTCATACTGGATGCGGCTGAACAGAAACGGGTTGTTATCTCATTCCTTCTAACGGTATTTATTTTGTTTCAATTCCCTGGACGACATGCTGACTGCTCTGTACTTTTACCCGTAACAATGAGATCGTTTCAAGAATGTGATCTTCTACATCATAAGCATAAACAGTTCCCAATGTGTGCTGCAGTAGTTGGGAAGAATGCACTCACTCGACAATATCATTTACATAGAAAGCATCAGAGCAAGGAACGTATGAGTGATGTCGCTCAGCTGTAGAATGCAGACAAAGAACTGAAGCTCGTTAATTCTGATAGCAAAGGCCACAGCCTTGCCCGATGTTTTCTTCATCAAGCCATCTAATGTTACTGTAATTAGCCGTGGGGGGCTGGTGGTTCGGGTAGCGTTGGTTGCAGCAGCGGCCCAGCCAGCTTGGGGGCTCGTCGCAGTGGCCGCGACGTCGGCCCCCTGCCAGTACCGGATCCTGACCGGCCCTGGTGCTGGCACTACCTGCAGGCGTCCTGACCACTCTGCACAGCGCTACTACAGCCGCCTCGACGACCTATACCGTGAGCGTTTTGGGCCTGAGTCGAGGCCACCGATCTGGCCCGGTCTGTCTCGTAGTGGTTACCCTGTGTTTGATATGTCTATGGATGCCGCTTATTCTGTCACGTATGGGTCTCTTGGCTTGCGTGTACCTAGCTTAGGACCTTTGCCTGTTGCTAGTGTAGGTACCGTATCGCCCCGGATATAACCGCAGGCCTATTAAAAGCGCATGCGCTTATATATGGAGCAATGCGCTTATGGCCGATCCTCAATTAGAAGCGCACCCCTTATAAAATCGTTACTTATTATAAGCGCACCCTTGCAGTAAAAAAAAATAAAAAAAAATGTTGAATATTTGTCATTATTGTTATAGCTAAAGCAAGGCTAGCCTTCAAGGGCATTGCTGATGCGGCACGTGAGAAAGGCTTTCTTAATCAGGTCGGCGGGCACAGCCTTCCACGCCCGTGAAATCCACTTGAGCACCACCAGCGGGGGTGGTTTCTTGATGTTCCCTGCACCACATGAAAGGGAGTGGGGAACACATTAGTCCACAAGCAGGCAGACAAGCACACGAAGGGGAGACGGGAGGACATGTCGTCGCTCACCTGCAGGTGTAAGAATGTTCATGCCGTCCGCCTCAAACCAGGACTGGTACTGCTGGCAAAAACTTGCTTTGAATCTCTTGTTCACTGACACATCGAGCGGCTGCACGTCTGCCGTGCATCCCGCCGGGATGACCGCCGGCACGATGTTGAGCGCCGCGAATCTCGCCTTGACTTCCTTGGTAAGGTGACCACGGTAGGAGTCGAGTACTAGCATGGCGCTCCGACTCTGCACGCCAAATTTCGGTTTCTGGAACAGCACCACGCCCTCATCGAGCCACTGGATGACACCCGTGGCCTCCATCCACCCGTTCGCTTGGCAGCCGACCACGACATCTGCACACAAGCAAGCGGTGGTTAATCCCTTTTTTTGTTTTGAACGTCCAAAACACGCACAATAACATGTGCTCACCGTTCGGGAAGTCACCCTTTGGCAGTGTCTTGCGCTTGAAAAACACCCACGGCTTCAACTTCTCGCCCGTCGCCGTGCACGCCAGCATGACGGTGACTCTTTCTTTCTGGTAACCACCACTACGGATGGGCACCGACTTCACGCCCGTCTGCTCCATAGTGGTAGTGGCCAGCATCTCCAACCAGAGGCGTCTGGTCGGCGTTTATTATGTATCGATTGTCGATCGCATACTCATTGCGTGCGTCGCGGACGAACTGCCAAAATTCTTTGCACTGCGTCGCCACGTCTGTGCATGGGGAGGGAAGGACAGATAGGAATAAGGATGAGTACCGCTACAAGATAAAGATATTCACATGGGAGCAACAAGTCTTACACCATGCGAATTCGCGTGAGGTAAGCGAGAAACGAGGCACTTACGCTCCTGTGTTTTCTGCGCCACCTTAGTTTTCATGCGCACGCTGAGGTTCCACCGCTTGCGGAACCGCTCCGACCACCGCTGAATCCCTTTCCATTTGACTTCCGGGAACAGCACCTTCATCACCTCGCGTGACCAATCTTGGAGCCGGCCGATTGAAACTGCAACACCGCGGTGTCGCCAGTCGAAGAGTTGAGCGTACACATTTAACTCCATGGGTCTGTACCAAGAAGACCTCCCGCGCCCATGAAGTCGACACCTTGCGGCGTGTGAAGCCTTGAGCTCCTCCGCTTGGGTTTTCCACTCCGTCAGGCATTTGCGGTGTATGCCGGACTTCCGCGCGACCTCGCTTATCGATGCCGCCAGCTCCAGCTGCACGAGCCACTTGAGTTTCTCCTGGGCGGTGTAGGAGTGTCGTTTATGTTGAGACGGCTTGTGCCTGGGAGAGGGGGGGCGGGCATCTCGGTTCTCGGAGGAGGGGTGGGGGCGTTTTTTGTTAATCGGCGGATACGTCGGTGTCGGCATCTAATCGCGTGGTGCGTCGCGCCACCAAGACTCCACACCGTCGTCGTCCTCGGCAGTTGCACCACAATCTGGGAACACGTCCTCCTCGGCACCCACTTCACCGTCCCCTCCACCAACGTCGTCGCCGCTGTTTTGTTTATCGGCGGCCACGTCATCGTCGGCGCCCACACCCGACTCGTCCCACGTGCAGGCTTCAGGCTGTCCCCACCGTGGTGCAGGCGGCGGAGCCTGGATGAACACATCGGGGGCCTTGGGTGTGTCCACTTATGACAGCCACTCGTCGAAAGTGGCTGGTAAATACAGCTGGAGCACGGGCCGTTGGTGAGCACCAGTACCGATACCGATATTAGGCGGATTCGGAGGAGCGGGAGGAGCGGGAGCTGCAGGAGGAGCAAGAGGTGCAGGAGGAGCAAGAGGAGCAGGGGGTGCAGGGGGTTCAGGTGGCACTGGAGGCGCTGGTGGCTCACGAGTATACCACCCGTCGTCGTGGAATCTGAATGATAAAAAAATGAGAAAGAGGGTGCACAAATGGGCAACGAAGGAGACCCCGTAGGGTTGGCGCCTCGGGATCCTCATCAATGACAGGCGGGAAACCCCCGCCTACCCCCGTAGAGGACCCTGCGTGGCAGCATAAACACTGCGCTGGCATGGAATCTTCCCCACCCTTCGAGAGGGTTCGGAAGAAATGCACATGCCACGCATCGCATGTGGCTGTGATTGGGCCGTACGGCAACATCCCCGTCACTGCTGTCACGTTCGATGGTTCTAGACAAAATTGTGCAGTGGGAAACCGAGCCACTGCTGTTTTTGCCTAAGAACCATGCACCATCCCACGTGTTGCATGGTTGGTTGAATTCGCCTTATTGCGGGCTTCAATTTGGTATGTTTAAAAGTGGATTTTATTTTTTTTCCCTATTACAGGCGCATGCGCTTATAAAAATGACTCAATTAGAAGCTCACCCCCTACAAAACACTGTTTTATTATAAGCGCATCTGCACTTCTATCCGGGGTAATACGGTACTTGTGCTTTTAGTGTAGGTGCTTGTGTAGTCACTAGTCCAGCCATGACGATTGCTGTCGCGTCGCTCTCCTTTACGCTGGACTCAGGCGTGTCGTAGTGCTTCTTCCATGACCACACCACTGTCACACCTCTTTCGGCTCCAGTCCCAGTTGCCCTGGCTGATCCTACTTCTGGTTTAGGGTTGCTCGCAGTCGCTCGCAGCTCGACCACTCTCCCATGCCCGGCTGTCCCTTCTGGTTTCCTCACTGGTCTCTACATCCCCTCGTTCTCTCGGAACTTGGTGGGTGTTGGATACCTTCAGGACCGTGGGATCACAGTCACTTTTCTTGCGCACGGGAGGACGGCGATCTGTACAGATGCTTCCACCGGGGCTCTGCTTGCCACGTTCACCAAGGAGCCCCACTCAGGTCTCTTCGTTCTGCACACTAGGTCCCACCAGGTAGCAGAGTCTGGCCAAGTTACTACGTCCCCTCTGGTTGCTGTGTCTAGTCAGGTTGCTGCGTCTGGTCAGGTTGCTGCGTCTTGCTCCTATCGGTCTCCCGCCCACCCGACCGTCTTGTGGCACCACTGTCTTGGCCACCCATCGATCCCCCGCCTCTGCAGCATGGCTAGACACCGTCTTGTCTCGGGTCTCCCTCGCCTCTTTGCGTCGCTCCCTCCTTCGCCTGCACCGCCGTGCACTCCTTGCGTCGCCGGCCGCTTTCGCGCCACTCCGCTCTCATCCTCCCTTCGTCCGTCCACTGCTCCCTTCCAGACTCTCCACTTGGACGTCTGGGGCCCTGCCCCTACGCAGGGACCTGAGAGGGAGTGCTACTTTCTGGTGGTCGTCGACGACTACTCCAGGTACACCACGGTGTTTCCTCTCGCGAAGAAGTCCGAGGTGACTTCTACGCTGATCCGGTGGCTTCTGGCCACTGAGAGCACTCGTGGTCGTCGTGTCTCCTGTCTCCACTCCGACCGTGGGGGGCGAGTTTCGCTCCGGCATTCTTCGCGGATTCTGCGGCGAACAGGGCATCTCACAGTCTTGGACGCTTCCGGAGTCCCCACAGCAGAATGGGGTTGCTGAGCGCCACATTGACTTGATCATGGACATTGCCTGCACGTCCATGATCCATGCCCGTGCGCCCCATTTTCTGTGGCCCTACGTGGTTCGCTACGCCGCCCACCAGCTGAACCTCCAGCCGTGTGTCTCGCAGCCAGAGGCTTCACCGACCAGTCTTTGGACCTGGTCCCCTGGTGTTGGGTCGGCCTTTCGTGTCTGGGGCTGCATTGCGCTTGTCCGCGACACCTCTGCGGACAAGCTCTCGGCTCGCGCCATCCCTTGTGTCTTCCTTGGTTTCCCGGTGGACTCTCTCGACTATGCCTTTTACCACCCGCCTCTCCACCAGTTCCTAGACTCCCGTGACATCCGGTTTGACGAGTCAGTGACCTACTACACCCGGTACCCCTGTCGAGGTCTCCCGGTCCCCCCTCCTCCTCTTTTCCTTGCACCCTCTCCTCCTCCTGCTCCCGCTCCTCCGGTACCCCCGCCCCCCCTTGGTCCTGCCCCGTCAGGTGTGTCTCACGTTACCCCTCTCACCTCGGTCGCGCGTCAGGTAGCATCTCCCTCCTCGCAGTCCTCCTCACAGTCCCCTCAGCAGCCTTCGGCACTTTTGTGACAGGTTGCTGTGGACTCTGGGGGTTTTGGAGCTGGAGGTGCTGACACTGGAGGTGCTCGGTCTGGGGGTGCTCGTTCGCAGGGTGCTGGAGCTGGAGGTGCTAGTTCGGGGGGTGCTGGAGCTAGAGGTGGTGGCACAGGTGGTGCTAGTTCTGAGGGTGCTGGAGCTGGAGGTACTAGAGCTGGAGGTGCTGGCACTGGAGGTGCTAGTTCTGGGGGTGCTGGAGCTGGAGGTACTGGAGCTGGAGGTGCTGGCACTGGAGGTGCTAGTTCTGAGGGTGCTAGAGCTGGAGGCATTGACACTGGTGGTGCTACCCTTTGGAGACACTGGCACTGGGGGTGCTAGTTCTGAGGAGACTGGAGTTGGAGACACCACTTCTGCGGTGCCCGCTCAGCCTCCCCACCGCCACGACATGCGTCTCCAGGCAACTCGCCGGCGTGCGCGTGAGGAGCAGGAGCAGTTGGAGAGGGAGAGGCATGAGCTGCGGCAGTTGGACCTGCTAGAGCAGCAAGAGCAGCAACAGCAGCAGCAGGAGCAGGAGCAGCAGCAGCAGCAGGAGCAGCAGCAGCAGCAGCAGCCGCCACGGCCGCAGCAGCAGCAGCGGCAGCCGCAGCAGCTCCCTCTGGAGTGGCAGTTGTTCCCGACCATGAGTGGCCTCCGGGCCCTTGGTCTTCCCTCCTCTTCTCTTGCTCGCTCTCCGTCTCTCCCGGCCTTTGGCCCTACGTTTCCTCCTCCTGACGACTCTCATGTTGTCTGGTCTTCTCCTCGGTCCCCGTCTTCTCCTCCTGTTGTCCCACACTATTGTGTCTGTCCCTGTCCCCCGCGTGCTCGTCCCTTGTCCCCCGTTACCGACCTCCGCGCTGCCCTCTTTTGTTCTCGTCGTCGTTCTCCACCTGTGTCCGTTCTCCCATCTCCTCCTCCGTCCTCTCTTCCAGTCTCCCCTACCCCTAACTCTGACTACTACCGTGCTGCTCGCCCTGTTGTCTCCCGTGTTCTCGCCACTCTTGCCACCGACTCTCGTTTCTCTCTGTCGTCTGTCTCGGCTCTTACTGCCGCTGTCACTGACTTTGCTTCCACCTGCCGTCTTGACTACGCCAAATGTGTGGTGGCTGCTCCACCTCCCCATCCTCTGTCCGTCGGGGGTGAGTTTGCCCTTGGCTGTGAGGTCCTAGAGGACAGGCAGTTTGAGCTGGAGTTCTTGGCAGCCGCTTCCCCCTCTCTCTGCGCCTTGCTGCTTTCCCTTGAGGGAGACCCTGACGCCCTTGACATACCGACTCCTCGCACGTACCATGAGGCAGTGTCAAGGGAGTGGGCCTCTCAGTGGAAAGCGGCTATGGACTCAGAGTTAGCGTCTTGGAGATCCACAGGCACCTACCTCGACACAGTTCCCCCTCCCAGGGCGAACGTTGTCGATGGCATGTGGCTCTTCAAGGTGAAGCGGTCGCCTGGATCACCACCTGTGTTCAAGGCAGCGCTACGTGGCTAGGGGTTTCAGTCAGCGTGAGGGAGTTGACTTCTTCCAAACCTTCGCCTCGACCCCGAAGATGACTACTCTTTGGGTGTTACTGCACGTAGCAGCACAGCGAGACTACGAGCTGCACTCCCTCGACTTCTCCACTGCGTTTCTCCAGGGCTGCCTACACGAGGAGATTTGGCTGCGGCGTCCTCCTGGCTTCACTAACACCTTCCCACCTGGGACCCAGTGGAGCCTGAGGCGACCAGTCTGAGGCGACCAGTGGAGCCTGAGGCGACCTGGGACCAAGTGGACCCTGGGACCCAGTGGAGCCTGAGGCGACCGCCAGTCGCCCCGTGAGTGGCACGACACTCTTCGCTCCACGTTTCGGGACCTTGGGTTTCCTCCTTCTTCTACCGACCCGTCGTTGTTTGTTCGTGCTGGTTCCACTCCTTTCTTTATACATGTTTACGTTGACGACTTGGTCTTTGCTGCAGCTGACAGGGCAGCTCTGGCTGAGGTGAAATCAGAACTGTAGAAGAGACACACGTGCACTGACCTCGGTGAACTGCAGCGCTACCTTGACCTGCAGATCACCAAGGACAGAGCCGCTCGCACCATCACGTTGACGCAGTCACACATGGTGCAGCAGGTCCTTCTGTGGTTCGAGTTTCAGTTCTCCACCACCCAGCCCACTCCTCTTGCTGCTGGCCACAGACTCACTGGCCCCTTTCCTGACGAGCCCTTTGAGTCCAGCTGTCCCTACGCAGAGCTTGTGGGCTGCCTCATGTACCTGATGACTTGTACTTGGCCGGACCTCGCTTTTCCCCTCAGCGTCCAATCTCGCTTTGTTGCGACTGAGAGACACCGTCCTGTTCACTGGACAGCTGCTGTGAGGGTGGCGAAGTACCTTGCGACTACATCAAGCATGGGGCTTGTGCTTGGAGGGACTCAGCCAGTTGAGTTGACCGGCCAATGCGACTCTTCCTACGCTGACGACGTGGAGACTCAGCGTTTGACTCAGGGTTACTACTTCAATCTGGATGCTAGTGCTGTGTCGTGGAGGTCTACACGGTCGTCGTCTGTGGCTTTGTCCAGTGCAGAGGCAGAGATCTACACTGGTGTCGTGGCGGCACAGGAGCTTCGCTGGTTGACCTTCTTGCTCACCGACCTTGGTGAACGGCCTTGCTCTGCACCGACATTGTACGCTGACAACAAGGCCATGATCCTCCTGTGTCGAGAGCCTCGACTGGAGAGCAGGGTGAAGCACATTGACGTGAGGTACTTCCTCCTGTGAGATTTGCAGCGACGCGGCCAGGCACGCTTGGACTTTGTGGCCTCAGAGGCCAATACTGCTGACGTCTTCACCAAGGCCTTGGCGCCTGGTGACCAACACATGTTCTGTGTGCAGCTAGGGCTTGTTGAGGCAGGCCCTCGGTTGCTATAGCTTTGTCTCTTGATCCTTGCACTGTTGTATTTGTATCTATATTCTCTTGTGAACTTTATGAACTGGCCTTGTGGCCGTTTGCTTGTTCTCGGACAGTGTGGTGACTTCGTGATCCACCCTGAGCTCTTATGTTGTTGCTTCTCTCGACTGGTCTTGTAAACCTTTGTTTCGCTCGTTTTTTTTTTATGCCCCTCACTTAGCCTATGGGGATGTGTCAAATAACATTTATATGTTTTGTTATTTTGCTAGGCTATAGTGAGTTGCCTAGTATAGGGTACACAAATTCCCTCGACATTTCTACTTGTACCTCTTGCCCTTCTAGTCGACCAACCCATTCCGCTAGTACTTTGAGAGTTATCTCATTGCTTCTAACGATATTCGTTTCAATTCCCTGGACGCAATGCAGACTTCTCTGTACTTTTACCCATAATAATGAGATCGTTACAAGAATTTGATCTTCTACATCATCAGCATAATCAGTTCCCAATGTGTGCTGCAGTAGTTGGGAAGAATGCACTCACTCGACAATATCATTTACATAGAAATCATCAGAGCAAGGAACGTATGAGTGGTGTCGCTCAGCTGTAGAACGCAGACAAAGAATTGAAGCTCGTTAATTCTGATGGCAAAGGCCATATTTGCCTGATGTTTTCTCCATCAAGCCATCTAGTGTTTCTGTAATTAGCCCTTCGCACAAGTGAGGTACCTTATTCATGCAATGCATTTTACCATAGCCACTGCCTTTCAGCTGATAGCATGCTGTTTTTCAATTATGGCTAAGGACCAGGGCCTCAGAAGTCAGTGAAAAAGGCTCATTCAGGTAAAAAAGGCTTAGATTTAAGACCATTTTTAGAATTGAGGGTTTATTCTGCAATTTCTTGTCATAATCATTGTGCAGGAATGAATGAACTATGAATGAGTTGGGTACAAGTACTAACCCTAAAATGATGTACCCCTTCTAGGCTAACCCACTATACCCTAGAGAGAACACAAACATACAGTTTAACACACCCTCATAGGCTAAGTGGGAGAGAGCAAACACAACAGACGGTCACAAGACCAGTCAAGCAAGAGAACAAGCAAAGCAAAGCCCAGGGTGGATCTCAAGGACACCACACAATATGAGCACAAGCAAGCGGCCACAAGGCCAGTTCACATGCAGAGTTATAATAGCAAGGCAGTACACTGATCACAACCTAGCAAGAGTAAACAAGCAGGTATAAATATATATATCAGTGTACAACAAGAGCAAGTCAAGCAGCCAGCAGGTGAGGCAGAGTGGGCACAAGCCCAAGAGCAGTGCACAAACGCTGATGATCACCAGACCCAAGGGCCTTGGTGAACACATCAGCAGTGTTGGCCCGCGAGGCCACGTAGGAAAGGCGGGGCTGTCGACGCTGCTGCAGCTCACGCGCAAGGAAGTAGCGAAGAGCAATGTGCTTCGTTTTGTGCTCCAGTCTCTGCTCGTGACACAAGGCAAGCAAGGTCTTGTTGTCGACGTACAGAACTGGAGGAGAACGAGGCCGCTCCCCCAAGTCGGTCAGCAGGTAGGACAACCAGCGTAGCTCCTGTGCAGCTATGGCCCCAGCGTAGATCTCGGCCTCACAGCTGTAACCAAGCACAGAAGAAGAACGAGTGGACCTCCACGAGATAGAACCAGAGCAAAGACTGAAGGTGTAAACCTGTGACGACCGCTGAGTCGCCTGGACGTCGGCCCAAGAAGCGTCGGAGTGTCTTGTGAGTACCACTGAACCTTGTCCTCCAAGCACGAGCCCCATGCCCAATGTACTGCACAAGTAACACAGTACCCTCTTCGCAACATCCCAGTGCACCTTTCGGTGTCTACCGGGAGCCACGTAGCGAGCCAGGAGGCTGAGAGGGTACGCAAGGTCAGTTCGTGTGCACGTCATCAGGTACATGAGGCAACCCACAAGCTCTAGGTACGGACCACTTGGCTCTACGTACTCGTCCGAAGGTGGAGCTGAGAGCGAGTGGCCGGTAGACAGAGGAGTGGGCTGTGGCGAGGAGAACTGGAAGCCGAAGCGCTAAAGGACCTGGTGCACCATGTGTGACTAAGTCAGGGTGATGGTGCGCCGTGCTCTGTCCCGGGTGCTCTACAAGCCAAGATAGATACGCAGCTCACCCAGGTCAGTGCAGGTGTGTCTCTCCTGCAGCTCCGCCTTCACTAGGGCCAGCGCCTCAGTGTCAGCAGTAGCAAAAAACAAGTCGTCGACATACACGAGAACGTAGAACGGCAGCAGGGTAGTGTCGGTGCATAGAAACAGCGATGGGTCAGCAGAGGAAGGAGCAAACCCAAGAGCCGCAAGTGTAGTCCTCAGTGTGTCGTGCCACTCTCGGGGCGCCTGGTGGAGACTGTAGACTGGCCGCCGGAGGCTCCACTAGGTACCCGCATGAAACGACCCAGTGAAGCCAGGTAGGCGGCGCAGCCAGATCTCCTCGTGAAGGCTGCCCTGCGAGAAAGCTGTGGAGAAGTCGAGGGAGTGCAGCTCGTAGTCACGCTGTGCTGCAACGTGCACTAGCACCCGAAGAGTAGTCATCTTCGGGGTGGGGGAGAACGTCTGGAAGAAGTCAACCCCTTGTCGCTGACTGAAGCCTCGAGCAATGTAACGCGCATTGAAGTCAGGAGGAGAACCCGGCAGCCGCTTCACTATGAAAATCCACATGCCATCTACTATGTTCGCCCCAGGAGGAGGAACCTCATCGACGTAGGTACCTATGGACTTCCAGGAAGCCATCTTTGCGTCCATGGCTGTCTGCCACTGAGAGGAGTACTCACCCGCGATTGCCTCAGCGTAAGAGCGCGGGGTAGGGATGTCAAGTGCATCCGGGTCTCCCTCAGGGCAAAGCAGCATGGATGCGAAACTAGGTAAAGCGGCCGCAAGACACTCAAGCTCAAACTGCCTGTCCTCAAGGACGTCTCTGCTAAGGGCAGGCTCACCCTCAACGGACGGAGGTCAGACAGACTCAGACTCAGTAATAAGACTCGTGACGTAGTCGAGACGACGACTAGCTCGGTGACGAGGGCAAACGCAGCAGTAGACTCAAAGTCAGGGTCAGTGACAACAGTAGCGAGGAGACGAGTGATAGTAGGACTGGCAGCACGAGCAAGTTCGGACTCAGGGTCAGGAATGTGTGGAAGAGAGGACACGGGAGGCTCAGGCAGGACAACTCGCTGTGGAACAGAGGAAGGACGAAGTGCCATACCGTGAGTGCCTGGGACAGCAGGAGGACGAGGACGGGCGATACAACGAGCACGAACAGGTGTGGAAGCACGAGTCTCAGGCTCACGACGCTCAGTGAGGGACTAAGTCACCTCAGTGTGAGGAGCAGGAGCAGGCAGCGAGGAGCCAGGCAGTAGCTGTGGCGGAGACTAGTTTGTCTGTGAACACAGGAGAGGTGGAGTGAGACCAGTGGAAGACGGGAGACTAAGAACATGGCGAAGGACAGAGTCAGGCGGCGGCAGGGACGACTGCGGATGCAGGTAGAAAAGCAGTCGGCGCTGGGCAGAACCACCAGCTCCAGCTCCTCCAGCACCAGCAGCACCAGTACCTTCAGCACCAGTAGCTCTACTAGCACCTCCAGCACCTCCAGCACCTCCAGCACCAGCAGCACCACCTGCTCTGGCAGCTCCAGCACCTCTAGTACGAGAACCTCCAGGACCAGCAGCTCCAGCAACTCCAGTACCTCTAGTACCTCCAGCTCCAGCGCCTCCAGCACCAGCAGTACCTCCAGCACCTCCACTGCCAGCAGCTCCAGTAGCACCTCCAGCACGAATAGCACCACCAACTCCGGCAGCTCCAGCTCCTCCGGTACGAGCACCTCTAGGACCAGAACCTCAAGCTCCAACGCCTCCAGGACCAGCAGCACCTCCAGCACCAGCTGTACCTCCGGGACTAGTAGGTCCGGCACCTCCAGCACCAGTAGCACCTCTAGGACTAGTAGCTCCAGCACCTCCAGTACCAGCAGCACCTCTAGTACCTCCAGCACCAGCAGCACCTCCAGCAGTACCTCCAGTACCTCCAGCACCAGCAGTACCTCCAGGACTAGCAACTCCAGCACCAGCAGGACCGTACCCTCCACCACCAGGACTGCCTCGCCGAACGATCCACGCACAAATCGCCTGCGGCGAGAGCGTCTCAAGTAGATCCAGCTGTGGTGGCTGTCCAGCTCCAGGACCTCCTGCAGGGTCACCCACAGCTCTACCGCCATTAGGACTCGCAGTACCCCAAGAGTCAGCACCCCCAGTCACAGCACCCCAAGAACCAGCACCCCCAGTCGTAGCACCCCCAGAACCAGCACCCCTAGTCGCAGCACCCCCAGAACCCTCACCCTCCGTCTCAGCACCCCCAGGCTCAGCACCAGCAGTCTCAGCTCCAGAGTCCACAGCAGCAGGCTGTGGAGGCGTCAAAGACGGCCGAGGCGGAAAACCAGGGGGGGTCTCCAAGCGCGGAGAGCGGCGAGTGGCCGCCGTGTCGTCAGCAGCGGGGTCACCCCCCTCAGCTGGGCCAGAGGAGTCAGAAGAGATCTCCAAAGGCTCAACCAAGGGGGGTGGGTCTACCTGAGACACACCTAAGGGAGCAGGACCCTGTGGGGGGAGGGGGTCTATCGGGGGGGGGGACTGGTACCAGAGGCGCTAGGGGGACTGGGTGGGACGCATGCGGGTGTAGTATGTAGAAACAGACAGACTCGTCAAAGGAGAATTCCTGGGAGGAGAAGACTCGACGCTCGCGCGGGTGGTAGAACTTCCATGGCGGGGCGTCGGTGGAGAAGCCAAGGAAGACGCAGCGGAGAGTGCAAGAGGAGAGCTTGCTCGCTTTGGCATCGCGAACAAGGGAGAGCGCACCCCAGACCCGAAACACCGACGCATCGCCAACCTTCCCCGTCCACCAGAGTGTGGGCAAGGTCTCTGGCACAGAGACACGGGGCCAGAGGTTGAGCTGATGTGCTGCGTATCGGACCGCAAACAGCCACAGAAAATGGAGAGCAGCCGCATGGATCATGGAGGTACGAGCAACCTCCATGATCAAGCCAATGCGACGCTCAGCAATCCCATTTTGCTGAGGAGAGGCCAGAAGCGTGAACGACGACTGGTGGATGCCCTCGTCTCGACAGAACTCCGCAAGGAGGTCAGAAGAGAACTCACCACCCTTGTCAAGGTGCAGACGCATGACTGGGAAGTCCCGATTGAACCGCTCGCGCAGCTGGCGACGAGTAGCACGGATCTAGGGGATCAAAACATCGTTGACGTCTGCCCTGCGCCGCAAGGGGAAGACAGTGGTGTAACGTGTGTAGTCGTCAACAACCAGCAGGAAGTAGCGCTCCTGGTCCGTTCCACCGACGGGGGCCGGGCCCCAAACGTCCATGTGGAGAGTCTGCAGAGGAGTAGTGGTCGGAGGAAACTCGGAGGAGTGAGGAGCGGCGCGCTGCCGCCCCTCGACGCAGGGAAGGCAGGGCGGTGCAGGCGAGCGCGGGAGGGAGGACAGGGACTTGGGAAGCCCAGAGACAAGGAGACGGGAGTGCATGCTGCGGAGACGTGGCAGGTAGGGGTGACTGAGGCGGTGGTGCCATAGGAGATTCTGGTGGGAGATTACCCGACACAAGCAAGACGCTGCAAGCTGACTAGACGCAGACACCTGACTCGACGCAGCCACCTGAACTGCCTCAGCCACCTGTGTAGACGCAGTGGTCAGTGTGTACAGACTAGACCTAGGCCGTTGAGTGAACGTAGCAAGGTGACGGCCAGTCCGGGAGCACGTACAGATCGCCACACGCTGCCCTCCAGGAATAAAGGTATCAACCTAGACATCCTGAATGGCTGCGTTGCTCACCAAGTTCGTCGAGAACGTGGGGAGGTGGAGACCTGACAGAGAACCGGAGGGGACTGCTGGACACGGGAGGACAGTGGAGGCTCGTGCGACTACTGGGCCCCCATTGGGGTCAGCTAGTGAGACTGTTACCGGTGCAGCAAGTGGTGTGAGTGTGGTGCAGTCACGAAAGAAGCAACGTGACGCCCCTGAGTCAAGTAGGAAAGTGTGCAAGGCCTCAGCTGAGGAAGGACCTGTGGCGGGAGACGCACGAGCACCTAAAGTTGCAGCAGACTCACTAGCATCTGGAGCGGCAGCAGACTCACTAGCACCTAGTGCGGCAGCAGACTCACTAGCACCTAGTGCAGCACCCTCGACAGAACTAGTGACACATCGGTGAGGAACCAACTCATTAAGCACCTGCGGGGAGAAGGTCTCCTGCTGAGTCTGCTGCCGCCTCTGTGCAGTACGCAGAAAAACCAAAGCCTCCACCACCTGGACAGGCTCGCTGAAGAACCCACTTGCGAAGCTGCTGAGAGGTGGGGTCGTCCGGGAGAGGCAGTGACCGCCGCTGTCCACCCCTAGCCGCTGCAACTGCCATGACAGGCGGTGACGGTCAGTAGTAGGTCCAGCACCTCCAGCACTCCCAGTCGCACCTCCAGTACCTCCAGGACCAGCAGCACCTCCAGCACTCCTAGTCGCACCTCCAGCACCTCCAGCACCAGCAGCACTCCCAGCACTCTCAGCAGCACCTCCACCAGCAGTAGCAGTAGCACGAGCAGCACCAGCAGCAGTAGTAGCAGCAGGGCGGCTCGGTGGGGCTGTTGATCGAGGTAGGGCGGCGCGGCTCGGGTTGGGCAGGGCGGCTCAGGCTGGGCGGCGCGGCTCGGCCGGGCTGGGCGGCGTGGCTGGGCAAGGCAGGGCGCGCCGCGGGCTGCAGGGCAGGGCGCGCGGTGGACAGGGCAGCAGGGCGCGCTCTGTGCAGGGCAGCAGGGCGCGACGCGCTGGGCAGCAGAGCGCGATGCGCGGGCTGCAGTAGGGCGTGACGCACGAGCTGCAGCAGGGCGCGACGTGCAGGGCATTAGGGCGGGACGCGCGGTCTGCAGCAGGGCGTGACGCGCGGGGCAGTAGGGCGCGACGCGCGGGCTGCAGCAGGGCGCAACGTGCAGAACAGTGGGGCAGCAGGGCGCGACGCGCTGGGCTGCAGGGCAAGGCAGTGCGGCTCGCGAGCTGCAGGGCAGGACGGCGCGCGGGCCTAAGGACAGGGCAGCGCGATGCACGGGCTGCAGGGCAGCTGGGCGCGGGCTGCAGGGCAGGGCGGCGCGCGCTGGGCAGGGCAGCACGGCCTGACTCGCAGGCTGCAGCAGGGCGCGACGTGCGGGGGCAGGCAGTGCGAGTAACTGCAGGGCAGCGCGACACTGTGCGAGTAGGGCCGGACAGCGCAAGGGCGCTTCGGGCAGGAACGAGTGGAACTATCGGTGGGCCCTAAAAACTTAACAGGTTTCCTGCTTTGAATACCATGTCAGAATCACTGTGCAGGAATGAATGAACTATGAATGAGTTGGGTACAAGTACTAACCCTAAAGTATTGTACCCCTTGTAGGCTAACCCACTATAGCCTAGAGATAATACAAACATTCAGTTTGACATTTGTTGAAAAGAAACAGGAGATGTTATTAGATTTGTTGAGTGAAATTGGCATAAAATGGCTGATTTGTCAGATTTTCAGCAAAACGTTTTGTACCAACTCTGTTTTTTCAGCCTAGGCCAAAACCAATCTGAGGCCCTGCTAAGGACGACACTCTAGCTCTTTTTACAACCTTGTCAGCGTTATCTGATGAGTTTCTATTGAGCGATACCATGTTAATTTGTGTCGCGTGGTACGGTAGTTATGTTTGGATTTCATGCACTTGGGCTTATGCATACAGCAATTTATTGCAACGATACATATTAGTGGTAGTCAATTCAGCATGACAACTCTATTCAGCATTTCATGGATATGGTACATAGATGAGGAGTTTTGTGATATTTGCTATTCCAGGCTTGCTGTCCTCCTCATTTCACTTTATTCTTCCTGCTTTCGATACAGGAGGAGCAAGGGCTGGGCTTCGCCAAAACCACATGGCCTAAATGCGCGACGCCGCCATTATTCGCGGCTCCAGTCAGTCGTCATTACAGCCCAGGGTCACCAGCCCTGGCTGGTCATGCGATGATTTCGCGAGTCAGCAAGGGTTACACCTTTGAGTCGCCACCAATCAACGCTAATTTTGTTTCGGCTTGGTTTTGCCTTCACGACAGGTGCGACGTGGTTTGGTTTTGCTGCCAAGACCCCCTGCGTCATTACAGCTTAGGGTCACCAGACTCGCTCTGGGATCCCTCCATCTGCTGTTTGGCAGCCAGCACCTCGAACAGCTAGCTGCTGCTCTGCTGCATTTTGGCAATCTCGCCCCAAATGAAGCCACAGTACTTTTGCACACGCAGGTGAGAAGAGCGCACAACCAAGCAATAGACTGGAGCTGGCATGTAGTTCTCCTTCTAGTCTGTAGGCTTCTTCACATCTTCCCACATTCGAATTCGACTATTCTCCTCCAGTTCGTTTTACCGCAGAACAGAAACATAACATAGGTGCCAAGCGCATACCCTTGCGAAGCACATTACATAGCTTTCTTAGGCCGACAGCAACGATGGCGAGGCATCGCGGTTCAGTTCAGGCAACAATGGTGGACATGGCGACTCATTTCCTGCGCTTCTTGAATCTCATTGTGCTGGCGGGAGGCGTGGCGTCAATCGTAATCATGCTCATAATCCGCCCTGTGCCGCTCTTTCCTCCTGGCTGGGGTTTCATCCTGCTCGGCGCGCTTACAGTCGCATCCGGTCTGCTAGGAGTCGTGTCAGCTGCGCGGCCAGGATTCTTCTTCGACTGCCACGTGTTCTGCCTTTTGGTTTCCCTCGCGGGCTTCCTCGCGTCGTTCCTGGTCATCTTCCTGCGCCTCGATGTAATCGTGGGGAACTTGGGCCCGGCGGTAGAGAGTGGCAAGGCGCGGCAGCTGGTGAGCACGGAGGGCGCCATCTGCCTCGTGCTCTTCGTCACGCAGCTCGTCGTGCTGCTGCTCGCCGCCATCGTGCAGTGCTGTGGCGCAGCTGACTATAGCGATGCCTACGAATCGATTTCCCCCGTTAGAGCTTCAACCCGCAGATATGAAGAGCCTCGGCGGCCGAGAATGGAGGCTCGTGCTGCTCCTCGAATGCCAGAAAGGCCTAGTGAAGCTCCCCGGCGGTGGATTCCGGCAAAGCCGGCGGAGCCGACGCCGCCAGCCATGGCAGGTGGTGTGGAGTATTCGGGCAGAGTGGTGGGAGATAAGACACAGAGAATGGCGGAGCAGCTTCAGCAGAAGTACGCGCACTGGGTCAAGCGCGACACGCAGTACGACGTGGAATCCGCCAAACCGTTCAACCCGTCAAAACTCTACACAGGGGATGACTGAGAAGGTCTCAGTTAGCGGTACCGCTTTCCTAATACGCGTGATTGCACGCCACGGTTTGCGTTGTTTGTTGTGCTCGCAACAGATGCTCCCATAGCACCAGTTGCCATACCCTCGCCAAAAATGGGAGCATTGGCACCCATAATGTTGATACTAAATGGGAAATATTTTATTCTTTAGTTAGAGAAGCAGGAGTGAATAGAGTAAATGGTATCAATAAATGGTTGTTTGGCATGCATATTAAAAGATGTGAATTGAGGCAAATTCTAATAACCCCGGACTGCCAGTACCGAGGATGGGCCTGCCTCGATCACATCCGCATCAGCAAAAGTGCAGCGTGCCACGTGAGACAATAGGCCTATCAAACACAGCGACAGGCGCACACGATACATCCATTGGTGCCGCCTTCTCGCCTACTGCTCCCTCCTGCATGTGCGGGCTGAAGGCAGATTTGTCAGTCACCACGATTCGTCAATGCAGCACACGCTGGCAACATCCAATCATATCTGTTTCTTGGTGCCACCTCAGCTGCCCCAGTGTCCCTCTCAACTCTTCATGCGTTTCTCGCGCTACCAATTCTGACCCAATCCCTGTCTCTCTCCCGCGACGATATCCTTTCACCTTCGCCCATTTTCTCATTCTCATCTCTCAATACTAACCATTTGGTGATTGTGTTTCCACCTGGTCGCCATGTCGGCCATTTCAAGCCCAGTCTCGAGCTTCTTGCGAGGTTCTGTTGCTAACAGTTTCGTCGAGAGCCTTTCGAGCAAGTCGTCTGTCAGCCAGCAGACTGTTCGCGTTGCTTCCCTCAAGAAGCATTCGCTGGCCTCTGCCGTCTCCGCTCCGCGCGCGTCCATTTCGAATAATGCGGACTTCGGCAAGCCCGAGAATGCGAGGGCGAGCCGGATCGTGCCGTCCGCCGTGGCGAGCGAGCCCGCGGCAGTGAGCAACGCGCCAAATGCATTCCACGTAAGGAACCGGGGAGGGCTGGTGACGTTCAGTCGATGACTCGGGTGATAAAGCGTCAGATTTAGGGTTACGTCGGAATGCGAAGACTACAGTCCGATCGGTTCTTGCGAAGCAAGCGACATTGTCTAGAACTGGAAGTTACCCTAGCACGCGCGGCCTCGTCGCGTCAGTAACTTTCCGCGATATATGATGTCGTCATACAGACTCACAGTCGTGCGTGCTTGTCGCGAATCTCTCCTTCTGTATCGCCTTCTCACCGTCGCCGTCGCTCGCTGATGTCTCACTCGACTTTTGTGTCGCCCGGCCGTGTCGCGCTCCCTACGCGTACATGCAGACGGAAAACGGCTACCTCTACGTCGAAGATCTGCGTGTTGCTGACGTGGCAGAGCAGATCTGGCAGCAAGAAGACAACTTCCGTCCCTTCTACCTCTACAGCCGGCCGCAGATCCTCCGCAACTACAACGCGTATGTGGACGCGCTAAAGGGCCTGCCGGGGTCTATCATCGGGTACGCGGTGAAGTCGAACAACAACCTCAAGGTGCTGCAGACGCTGTGCGGCGCGGGGAGCGGCGCCGTGCTCGTCAGCGGCAACGAGCTCCGCCTCGCGCTGCTCGCCGGCTTCGACCCCTCCCGGTGAGCCCCTCCCTGCCACCCCTTCCCGTGACCCCGTCCCGTCATCCCTTCCCGTGACCCGTCTCGTCACCGCTCCACGTGACCTCTTCCCGTAGCCCGCTGGAACCTCATTCTAGGTCCACCCTAGCCGCCATAGTTGCAGCCGAGCACACACTGTCCATGGTTGAACCTGCAAGGAAATGAAAGTACTCACACGAGCATACGGAAAGGGCCGCCTTGAGGCGCGTCCGGCGATGCCGCGCGCTGCTCCCGCACCCACTCCCCTCCGCGTGCTGCTCCCCTATCCATTCCTCCCTGGCAGGTGCGTGCTGAACGGCAACGGCAAGCAGCAGCACGAGTTGGAGCTGGCGGCGGAGCACGGGTGTCTGATCAACATCGACAGCGAGTTCGACCTCGAACACGTCACCGCCGCCGCCACTGCCACCGGCAAGGTCGTCAACGTGCTGCTCCGCATCAACCCCGACGTCGACCCGCAGGTGCGTGGCGCGGAAGGGGGAGGGAGGGGTTGGAAGGGGGCAAGGGGGGATGATGGGGGAGAGAGTGAGGGATGTCGCAGCCGCACGCCCCGTTCACGTCCAACTGACTTGGAGACTTCCGAAGTACAGTCTGCTGAACCTACAGTAACTCCTTCACACCCTCGTTCCCTCCCCCCTCTCCATTCCACCATTCCCTCCGCCCTCCTGTCCGTTCCGCCCCCTCCCTCCGCGCTGGCTTCGTGCGCGCAGGTGCACGCGTACGTGGCGACGGGCAACAAGAGCAGCAAGTTCGGCATCCGCAACGAGCGCCTGCGGTGGTTCCTCGACCAGATCCGCGCGCGCGAGGGGAAGCTGCGCCTCGTGGGCGCGCACTGCCACCTGGGGTCCACCATCACCAAGGTATCAAGAGTGACGAGTACAACTGCTGGTCTGTGTGCATCTGTGCCAAGGCTGCCTCTGTGCCTCGCTTCAACGTGCCTCTCCACCTATTTCCTTTCCCCATTTCTCCCCCTCCCACTCACATTCCCCCCCTCCACCGCGCCCCTCTCATCTCTTTCTTTGCATCCCCCCCCCAACCCCCATGCGTGTGGCAGGTGAACGTGTTCCGCGATGCGGCGCGCATCATGGTGGGGTATCTGGACGAGATCCGCGCGCAGGGCTTCCCCGTGCAGTACCTCAACATCGGGGGCGGGCTCGGCATCGACTACTCGCGCTCCAATGCCGTCCTGCCCTCGCCCACCGACCTCATTGACACCGTGAGCCGCCCGCCCTCCCTCTCCCACACGCTCGGGGCTCCTTCTCACAGCACTCATACATGCTGTGCTCGTTGGGATCCGGCCCATTGCCTGCTGTTTCCAAGCCCACCCTCGCCACATGCTGCGTCTGGCTCTCTCTACAGTCTCTGTCTCTCCGTCCTTCACCCGTGTCCCCTCTGCCACCCCCGTCGCCCCTCTTCCCCCCCCCCTCTGCACTGCCCTCACACCAGGTGCGCGAGATAGTGACGGACCGCGGGCTGACGCTCATCATCGAGCCGGGGCGGTCGCTGATCGGCAACACGGCGGCGTTTGTGTGCCGGGTGATCGGGGTGAAGAGCAACGGCAGCAAGGACTTCATCGTGGTCAACGGCTCCATGTCCGAGCTCATCCGCCCCGCCCTCTACGACGCCTACCAAGTGAGCCGGGAAACAGGGATTCTACTCTTCTCAAGCTCTGCCACCCTGACACCTTCCCTCCAATCCTCACGATTTCCCTTTACCTGTCTTCTGGCTTGCTCCATGCCTGCCTCTCCTAAACTCCTGCCTCTTGCCCTCCCCCATTCCCCCTGGGAGCAGCACATAGAGCTGGTGGCGCCGGCGCCGGAGGGGGCGGAGGAGCGAAGCTTTGATGTGGTGGGGCCCGTGTGCGAGTCCGCTGACTTCCTCGGCAAGGCCCGCACTCTGCCCACACCTGCTGAGGTCAGTGCTGCTGCCACCCACTGCTGTGGGGAACGGGGGAGCCATGGGTGAATTTCCATCCCAACACAAAACGTTGTTGTTGATGGAGGAATTTGGGACCTGGTCTCGGTGCTGTGTACACTCTTGTATGCACTCTTTATACTCTGCATCATTCTGCCTCACGTGCTGCTGCGCTCATTGCAGGGGGATGCTCTTGTGGTGCACGATGCTGGAGCGTACTGCATGGCCATGGCCTCCACATACAACCTCAAGATGCGCCCTCCTGAATACTGGGTGAGCAACCCAGTTGCTTGGCTTGCTTGTTTTCTGATAAAAGCCTCTGTTGCCCCTTCCTGCTTGGCTTGCCATGGTGCATTCCAGAATAACCTACGATAGTGCTTCGGTGTGTTACACAGGTTACTGAGGAGGGTAAGATCCAGAAGATTCGCAGGGGAGAGACGTTTGATGACCACCTTCACCTGTTTGAAGGTTTATAAGGATGCGGTAGAATATGTATAGTTAAAGGTAATGCATGCCATCCTATTTGTGATTTGATGGTCATATAATTAAATGCTACAAGCATGATGGAAGTTGGAACCGATTACCTGAAGTAGGAGCCTCTTCCTGGTTAGAAAGCAACGAGCATGGCAGATATAATAACGAGTTAAATAAGAACAGAACGAGTTAGCGTAGCAGATATAAGAACAGAACAATGAGTTAAATCTGAAAACTCATAACGGGGTTCACGTTTCCAGATGTCTTGTCCGAACAACTTTAGACACGTGTCTGACCATCCATCCCCCTCCCATCCCTCAGCTACTGGACCTCGGAACTTTCTTCTCTCGTCGTGCCCCATTGGTCCAGCACAGCACGGCCAATCCTTTTCCGCCATGCGAATCATCTCCCGCCACAAATCCATTCAGAAACATTTCCGAAGGCCCCAATTCCTCCCCTGTCCAGCTCCCACCAACAACGGGCGGGTTTTCGGCAGGGGCGCACGCACGGAAACCAGAATGCACGCAGCCAGCTTTTCAGGCCAAACCCGCCCTCCGCCCCAACCGCCGCAGTATGATGTGATGTGCCCACCATCTCGACCATCTCGACGCATTTCGTTTCTACCTCCCTCCTGCACAAAAACATTTGCTGCTGCCACTGCTGTGTGCCATCAGCATCGCATTGCTGGATTGCCAGTCATTCCACGAGCCAATCCCCTCCCTGCATTACCGATTAATCATGGCCAGCGCGTCGTGCCTCGCAAAGGTGAACCTGCAGCCGTCCCCCTGCGCTGCCGGTCTTAGAAGCCAGTCCGCGGATTGCGCGTCGTTGCGCAAGAGCGTCGCGGTGCAGCCATGTGGCGTGCGGAGGGGAGGGAGCGTTCGCGCGCACAAGGACGCGGAGAGGGTTGGCGTGGCGGCGGCGGCCGTGGCTCTGACGTCGCAACTCACGGCCGCAAATGCCGCGCTGGCCGTGGACGCGGACCAAGTCCGAGAAACACTCGCCCAGGCATGTACCGCGCCCGTTCTCAGGGTCTAGAGTCGCCCCATTCGTAAACAATTTCTTAAGTTGCTGTATGGAGCTGTTGTTTATTCATTTCCTCGTTCCTCCATGCCCTGATTATTATTTTCTCGATTTGTCACTCCCTATCCCGTATTCCTTCAAATTGTCCAGGTGGAGGAACTGGCTAAGCAGACTGCTGACCTGGCAACCAAGGTCTACAGCACGAGCATCGACGTGGCAGAGCAGGTGGTTCGCGTCACCAAGCCGCTGGTGGAGGCGGCAGCGCCGGTGGTGATCGAAGGGGCACAGGAGGCGTTAAAGGCGGCGGCGCCGGTGGCGTCGGACCTCGCGGAGAAGGCGTCCAAGGCGCTGCAGGACTCGGGCGTCGACGTCGCGCCCGTCGTCGAGGCCGCCAGGGTACGTTCACGGCCGCTGAGGTAGAATTAGGACCGCCAATGCACGTTTAAGCTGAGGTACGCACGCCCTCTGACTCGCGCCAGCCGCGTGACGAACCAGCGCTGCACGAGTCAAGCATGCGTAGATAGCCTTGATCGTATTGCTAAAACTGTTAAGGCTGTAATAGAGCCGCACGGCCAACCTATAGGGGAGTGCGGGAAAAAGGGCGACTGAGAATACGAAGCATGGAATGAACACAGGACCCAGCATTTTGAAGCCTCGAAAGGGAGAGATAACGAGAGACACTGAGCACGCAGCCATCGGTGGGGAATGAGCACCTGACGTGGCCGCACTGCTGCCGTCGTATGGGCAAATCAACAACCGCAATACTGTCCCGCGCAAGCGCCCATCTTCGCCAGCCCATTTTTCACTGGCTCGCCGTCGCGATTGCCTCCCATGTCTCCACCCGTCTCACCGTTCCCCGACTCATCCTGGCCCCCATCTTACCTCCCCCCGTAACCGCCCCCCCACCGCCTCCCGTGCGGCTATCGGCGCGCAGACGGCGGCGAGCGTGGCGGACGGCGTGAGCGACAGCACGGGGCGCGCGATCACGGCGGTGACGCCATACGCGACGTCGACGGTGGACCTCATCAGCTCCGCCGACCCCACCGCGCTCTCCATCGCCGCGGGCGGGCTCTTCGGGCTCTACCTGCTGCTGCCCTCCATCGGCCGTGGCATCGCCTACTCCTTCCGCGGCTACGCAGGTGCGATCACTGATGCTGCTGTTGCTGCTGCCGCCGCCGCCGCCGCCACCTCTGCTGCTGCTGCTGCTGCTGCTGCTGCTGCTGCTGCTGTCGCTCTCTCTGCTGTTCCCCGTCCCCATCTCATTTGCTCTCAATATCACTCGCTCCCAGTCACACTACTTCCACCAGTGCGCCCTCGTGTCCCCCTTCAACCCAACGACCCCGCTTGTCCCCCCTTCGCCACATTCCAACCCCCCATCTTCTCCCTCCCTCCTACCCCTTCCCCTCCTTCCCACCCTGTGCAGGCGACCTCACGGCAGCGCAGGCGTTGGATGTGTTGGAGAGGGAGGAGAGCGTGCTCGTGGACGTGCGCTCCCAGTCTCACCTGCTCCTACTCTCGCTCCCACTCTCACTCGCTCTCCCTCTCTCATTCGCCCCTTCCCCTCTCCCACCCCGTGCAGGCGACCTCACGGCAGCGCAGGCGTTGGACGTGTTGGAGAGGGAGGAGAGCGTGCTCGTGGACGTGCGCTCAGAGGACCAGAAGCTCTCCTCCGGCGTGCCCTCTCTGCCCCGCGGCCTCTCCCGCAAAATCATCTACGTCCCGTGAGTCCCGTGCCATACACTTGCTTGTACTCATCTACGTGCCCCGAGTCCCATGCCATGCACTTGCGTTCATCCCATCCTGGTAGTCTTATGCTCCTGGTATTCTCGGTTTCAATTCTGCCCCCTCCATCCCAACTGCTTTCACCCTGCAATGCGCCCCTCACATGGACGTGCCTGGACCCTCGACCCATCATAACAAGCCGGACTAGATCGCACATGAAAAGCCACAGAAACAAAAAGAGCGGAGGAGGTGACGGTTGAATGCCAAGAGAAGCTAGAGAGCCAGTCAAGACTTCTGAGTTGACTAAAAAATATTCCCTCTCCCTCCTCCAAAACCCACCCTTTTTCCCCCTCCACCGTTGTGTGCCCTCAGAGTGGAGGAGGTGCCAGTGGAGCTGCGCGACCAGCTGAAGAACCCCTTGAACACGGAGGCGGAGCTGACAGCCATCAAGGTGGCGTCGCTCAAGAGAATTGGCCGCCGCGCCAAACTCATCGTCATCGACAAGTCAGTTCGCTCCCTCCCTCCCTAATTTGCCTGTGTTCTGTTTGTATTCTCTCCTGATTCCACCCCACACTGAACTCTCAACTCGTCAGCTTCTTGACCAACCTCCTGATTGTGACGTCCACTCAATCCTCCCCTCTCTCCCTCGTCTCTTCCCCACTCTCCTCCCCTTTCTCGCACCACCCCCTCCCAACACCCCGTTTCCGTCATCACCCGTCTCCTCCCTGCAGCGACAACGAGATCTCAAAGCAGGTGGCGAGGTCGCTGGCCTCTCTAGGCTACCGCAACGTGTGGGTCGTGCGCGACGGCGTGGAGGGGCGGGCCGGGTGGGCGGCGAGCCAGCTGGCGATCGACTCGTACGATGGGCCGCCCACTAGCTGGTTCTCGGTGCCATCCTACTCGTCCGGGGGCACCAGCAAGGAGCGCACTGGCACCCAGAAGCTCGGCACTCAGTCAAGGCTCGGCACTCAGTCAAGGCTCGGCACTCAGTCCATATCTGCAGCTGCCTCCACTGCTGCTGGGGAGGAGTAAAGCTGCGGACGTGGGTGCAGCAATGACAGTTTTGTGAAAAAGCTTTAGGTGCTTGCGTTCTTTTGTAAATTAGGTTTGTGTTGCTCCAACCAAGGAGTGAAAAAATAATATGGTTGGAATGTTGATGTGGTGGTGAGTAGGAAGCAGGAAGAAATAAATATGGAAAATACCTAGTGTGGGTACTATGGATTGGGATTCTAAAATTCTAATTGATGTCATATCATTAGCTGCTGGAGATTTGAATGAATCACGAGTCTCACTAAATGACGTACGGAAGTAGGCGCGCATTCAGCCCTTAGCCAGACCCCAACCACAACCCCCCTGAGGCTGAGGCTTGCCTTTCCAAATTCACCCCCTCCCCGCGACACCATGCCGCTTCGCCCCGCAATCACAGCGCCCTTCGTTTCTGCCTTCCGCCCGTGTGCCTTGCACATCCTTCCGCGCGCCGTTCCGCCACCCATCCCTGCACCCATGGCTGCGCAGATCCCTGCGCTCGTCGCTGCGCCCACAGGCACGGACCTGAGGGAAACCAGCGGCACCATTTTCACACGAAGCCGCACGGACCGCCGAAGCCAATCCTCGTCGCAATCGGTTCCTCGCGAATCGTCGCTACGGCCTCTGGCGAGCCGGCTTTCCTCGTCGCTCACCCGCCGCGCCCCCTCCGCTACCTCCTCTCCTGCCCAGCGAATCCCACTCGCCACCGCCACGTCAGCACGGACCACTCTCCGCGACGCGCATAGCGGGGGAGCCAGGGGATTGCGCTGTGCAGGTCGGGCGGACGCGCATGCATCCGGGGAGGCGGGCGCGGGGGCCACGCGAGGAGGCGAGAGCAGCGCGTGGCAGGTGGAGCTGGTGCCGTGCCTCACGGACAACTACGCTTACCTCCTCCGCAATGCCGCCACCGGCGCCGCGCTCGTCGTCGACCCCGCGGAAGCCGCGCCCGTGGAGGCGCGACTGGAGGAGGGGGGGGCGGGCGGCAAGCTGGCGGCTGTGCTGTGCACGCACCACCACTGGGACCACACAGGCGGCAATCTGGCGCTAAAGGACAAATACGGCGCCACGGTAGGTAGTTCCTTCGTGAGGGGCTGAAGGCCGGGTGCTGAAAGGCTGAAGCTTCAGTCATGTGGGCGGTAGACTCGATGATACTCCTTGGCATATCACCACACTCTTGTTGCTCCCCTCCTTATGGCTCCTCACCCCATCGCTCCACACCCCACGCCCTGCGTGCTATCCCCTGCTGCAGGTGGTTGGGCCTGCTGCTGACAGGGATCGCATTCCAGGCATTGACGTGGCGTTGTCAGATGGTGACACGTGGCAGTTCGAGGGGCTAGAAATGCACGTGCTGCACACCCCCGGTCACACCCGAGGTACAACTGTGCCACCTGGGGAGGGAGAGAGGGTAGGGGGGTTGCTGAGCCGTGAGAGGCACTGCAGGGAACCCGGGAATGGCAGTGAGCAGAGTGAGTGAGTGTACGTCAGTGAGTGAGTGCTCATCACCACAGTCAATGCCTGCATAAGTATTACGCATCGAATTATATGCTTGATTTTCACACTCCTTCCACTCCCCTCGTCCTCTTCCTAATCTCCTTCCTCCATCTCCATTCTGTTAATCTTCCTCTCATCCATGGGCTCAACCCCACCCTCCTCCCTCTCCTCTTCCCCCTCTCCCCCTAACCCACCAGGCCACTGCGCGCTCTACTTCCCATCCCTGGCAGCGCTATTCACGGGCGACACACTCTTCTCCCTCGGCTGCGGCCGCCTCTTTGAAGGCACGCCTTCCCAGGTGCCATCCGCGCTGCCCTGTGCTGCCTGCCTTATGGTCCTCCTGCCCACACCTGCTTCCCTCCCCCATCCTTCCCTCGTCCCTCCCTCCTCCCCCCTCCCCCGCTTCCCACAAGTCCCTCGCCTCCAATCCACACAGCTCACCCCATCTCTCCCCATCCCCATGCAGATGTGGGCATCTCTCTCCCGCCTGGCCTCGCTGCCGCCCGACACGAAGGTGTACTGCGGCCATGAGTACACACAGGTGAAACCCTCTGTGCTCCTTTTTCTTTTTACCTTCTCTGACTTTGTGTTTCTGATGTTTCGTAACTTGAATTTGCATTATAAACACGGAACTTTTCTGGTCATGTCTTGTGTGTGTTATGTGTGGGTGTGTGTCTGTGATGGGTGTATGGGTGTCCCAAACGACAGGCCAATGCGCGCTTTGCCGTGGCAGTGGAGCCAAACAACCCCGCTCTGCAGCAGCGGGTGCATGAAATAACCCGCCTGCGATCCCAATCACTGCCCACTGTGAGCCCCCTCCCCCTCTCCGCCCATTCATCTGCCACATGTGCATGTCATTCCTGCCTCCTCTTCTGCACTACCTTTCTGCCCACCTCTGCCCATCCCCCTATCCACCCACCCGCCCATCTACCCACCCCCCATCCGCCCAAACTCTTCCCAATCCCCCTCTCCCCCTCCTCGCCAGATCCCCACCACGGTGGGCGTGGAGGCGGCCACCAACCCCTTCCTGCGCCCCGCCAGTGCTGAGATCCGCCAGTCGCTGCACATGGGCAATGATGCTGCTGACGTGGACGTGTTTGCAGCTCTCAGGCGCATGAAAGACAACTTCTAGGCTCTGATTTTGTGTCTTGTAGCCGGTGACGCCTGGAGTTGCTTAGTGTGCTGCACGATGTGTAACGTATTCTCCCGAAAAAAACACCCTAGGGTATAGCTAAAAATACAGGGAAAAAATGGGGGGGGGTCTCCTTATAGGAAAAAACTACATAATACCCGACTCCTTACATATGGCATATTTTAGTGTTAGTGTTTTTTTAATTAGACAACGTGGGTGTTTTGATGGTCGTTTTAACATCACTGTCTGAGGCGCGAATGTGAGTTTCGGCCGCAAACTTCATCACCCCCACGAAAATGCCATGTGGCACCTCTCTGGCCACTTGCAGCGGAAGATTCACCGGCACGTGGCGACAGCGAAATAGTGCGAGGGGGGAAATCTCGGCAGATTGTAAGTGAAAGTACCGCGAAATTTCATCGAGGGGGAGATTCTCGCGATATTCTTCCGTTTTGCAGCTACTCGTTAACGACTAAAATAATGAATCCGTAAGAAAAGGGGGGTGTTATAGAAAATCAGCCAAAAAGGGGGGTATAGTAGAAACGAGGTCTGTCATAACACCCACCCCGCACAAGCTACCCGGGGGGTGTACAATTTCTGCAGGTGTTATGTCCGGGAGAATACGGTATTATTACGGTGCATTTATGTGCTAATGGTGTGGCTTAATGAAAGCCCTGTATTTGCGGTGAACAATGTTGGGCTGAGTGCCCCTTAGGATCTTTGGTAGGGTTAAACTCTGGGTAGAGTGATGTAGTAGCGGAAGCGTTTAAACGAAGTCCTTGAACCACCTTGCGCTGGTATGTGAGGGCAAAGTAAGTTGATTAAAACAAGCAAGTACAAAGGTTTATATAAGAGTACAAAGAATACGAAGAGATATAATTAAACTGTTTTACTGTTGCGGTTCGATACAGTGCGACTCGGGCAACTGCTCAATGTCGAGTCAGTTGTGTGTCCTTGCTGTCGCGCTGCATTTGTCAAGTCAAAGGTCGCTGACCTTTGACTTTCGCGTAACCTCCAGCGGTTACTTCAACCTCCGAGGGTTGACTCGCTGGTGCCTCGATATGCTCTGCTTCGCTTGTGCCTTGGTGTTTCGACACGACAGAGGCGCTTAAGATTGTTTGTTCCCAACAAACAAGGCGGGGCACATGGAGCTGGCATCAACACAGGTCGGCACAATGCACGGAGGTGGTGAGCCTATGCTGTGGGACAGCTGGGCCTGCTTCGCTCCAAGGCATCTCCCCAAAGCGCCTCACTGTGTCAAACTGGGTGCTGTCACCCCGTTCTGTAAAAAACAGGCGGTTAGCTCATGAAGTCGTTTGATCACCCCATGATGTCAAACGGCTGGAACTGCTTCTTGAAGGCATCAGCCATGGCTGCCTCCTCCTCTGCCGTCTCCTTGCACGCCCGCCAGTCGCCCCTCTCCGGCAACCCCACCACCCCCGCCACCACCTGCACATTGCGTCATGCGGTGGGGACATGGAGTGGGGTGCAGGCAGGGGTGTGGGGGGGTTGGAAGGGCATGGGTATGGGGACCCATATATCTTATGGGAGATGCAGAAGGAGCAGGAAGGCAAAACACAAGCACAAGCACAACACAAGCACAGCAAACATCAATCACTAGACCTTACGAACCCTTAATGCCCCGCCTCGCCTCGCTTCCCTCACATGTCCCCCAACCCAGCTCACCTGGCGCAGACCCAGCCTACAAGGAAAGGACCCACGCCTAGCTATCGCTTCCATGCCACACCCACCTCTCTCTCCCCCCACCCCCTCCTCACCTCCCTTCCCAGCTGCATGGGCAGCTTGGCACCGCGGTCGATGGCGTGCACCAGCAGTGACCCATCGGGCAGCTCCACTGTGAGGTACTGGCCCCCTCGGCTCTGCTTCTTCACCTCGTCCATGTGCTGCCCCTCTGGTGAGTGTGTCAGGGAAGATAGGGAAGATAGGGTGGTGCCAGGAGAGGGGAGAGGAGGTGAGGAGGTGTGAGCAAGGGAGGAGCAGAGGAGGTGCAAGGAGGGAGAGACTTGACGGTCCTACGGCATGCACACTTTACCAGCATTCCCAGGTTCAGGTGCATCACCAGGTTCCGGTGGTTTTCCAGGTGGTTTGAAGTTCAGGTGGTTTACCAGGTGGTTTTGGGACGGTGGCGAACTGGAAGTTGTGGGAGGAAGCAGCGGCAGTGAAGGCAGGCAGCACCTGGTCTGCCTTGTCCTGGGGGATGGGCACCACCTGCCATGCATGTACGGTGGGCAGCGGGGGAAGAGGAGTGAGCAGTGGGCAGCGGGGGAAGAGGAGTGAGCAGTGGGCAGCGGGGGAAGAGGAGTGAGCAGTGGGCAGCGGGGGAAGAGGAGTGAGCAGTGGGCAGCGGGGGAAGAGGAGTGAGCAGTGGGCAGCGGGGGAAGAGGAGTGAGCAGTGGGCAGCGGGGGAAGAGGAGTGAGCAGTGGGCAGCGGGGGAAGAGGAGTGAGCAGTGGGCAGCGGGGGAAGAGGAGTGAGCAGTGGGCAGCGGGGGAAGAGGAGTGAGCAGTGAGGAAGAAGGGGTGCAGGTGACCTGGTTACCAGGTGACCCGGGGTGGGCAGGAAGGGATTGGAGGGCGCATTGGAGGCAGGGGAGGGGCGAAGCCACATCAACAGCAGGCAAGGAGCACCTTGCCCGCCTTTCCCAGGAGGTGGCATCACGTGCAATGAGCAGCTGATCTGCTTTATGTCGTCCAACACGCTCCCACTCACGTTCACATGCGCGTGAGTGGCCGCTCTGAGCTGCAGGAACCGTTCAAACGCCACCACGGTCTGCCCCTGCGCCTCAAAGCACCGCCTCAGCGCGCCCATGTACCGCCACATCTCCGCCAGCGCGTCGGATGGCAGCGAGATGACGCTAGGGAAGTGCTCTATAGGGAGGATGAGCACGTGCCCCGGCACGAGGGGGCCCTTGGGTAACGCCACGTAGCAATGCTCGCCCACCGACACCACCAGATGGGTCTCCACTTTAGGGGACGCCAGACAGAACCAGCATGGCGCTGGGGCGGGCGGCACTACTCCCCCTGCTGCTGCTCCTCCTGTTGCTCCCCCTGGGGGGGGCCCTGCGTGGGGGGCAAGCAGTGCGGCGAGGGAGGCGGGGGTGAGGGGAGGCGGAGTGCCGAGCAGGCCGGGGGAGGTGGAGGGCAGCGAGTGGGCGAAGCGGCAGGTGTCCCCGCGAGTGCAGCTGCCCCGGCGCACAAAGTCAAAGCACACTCCCTTGGGCAGCTCTGATGGGCCACCACTGCTGGGACCCACGCCAGCAGCAGCAGCAACGGCAGCAGCCGTAGCAACAGCAGCAGCAACAGAGCCAGCAGCAGCGTTATCGCCTCCCCCCTGCCCCTCCCCCCCTCCTCCCCCCACCTCCCCATCCGCCAGCGAGTGTCTGAATCGACAGTCCGTCCCTCTGCTGCAGCTGCCCTTGCTGAAGTGCTCAAAGCATAGGTTGCGAGGCAGTGGTGATCCATCCTCTAGAGTGTGCATGAAGCGACACGCATCGCCCCGCGAACACACCCCCTTCCCCGACAGCTCAAAGCACACCTGAGGCCCCTCCCTGCCCTCCCTGCCCCCCCCTCCTCCCCCTGGTCCCCCGTCCCGCCTCACTCTCTTCTTCCCTGCAGCGTACCGCCAGTACTGCTCCCCCTCCCCTGCTCCCCCCACCCCCCGCGCCTCCTCCTCCTCCACCTTTAGCGCCCATGCAGGCTTTACCGCCCCCTCCCCCCCTCCTTTTCCCCCGTCGGAACTTTCCCAGAAGGTGCGCTTGGCAGCTGTCTCTTCGGCCTTCGCCTGGGCGGCAGCGGCAGCAGCCCGGGCGGCACCGTCAGGGGCGGCGAGGCTGCCGGTCCAGATTTGATTCTTGGCGGAAGAGGGGCGGGGGAGGAAGGGGGAGGGGGTGGCATCGGGGGGCTGGGCGGCGAGGTCGGAGAGGGGGAGGGAGGAGGCGGAGCGCAGGGAGAGCGCGTGGAGGAACTTTTGCTTCGCCTTGTTGCCCACGGGGGCTAGACCTATGAACCGCGTCACGGGGCCTGATGCTGATGTGGAGGCGTCTTCTGCTGACGTGGCGGAGTTGATGTAGGGCGGGCGGGCAAAGAAGAAGCCCGCACCACCGGCCACGTGGTAACTGGGCGGCAGAGAGAGAGAGGGAGAGAGAGAGAGGGCTGATGCAGGGTGCAGAATGAATGGATAGAAGAGGCATGCGGGTGGGAGTGACAATGGTGCGAGCAGCTGCACGTATGGGGGCTTGCACGTATGGGGGCTTGCACGTATGGGGGCTTGCACGTATGGGGGCTTGCACGTATGGGGGCTTGCACGTATGGGGGCTTGCACGTATGGGGGCTTGCACGTATGGGGGCTTGCACGTATGGGGGCTTGCACGTATGGGGGCTTGCACGTATGGGGGCTTGCACGTATGGGGGCTTGCACGTATGGGGGCTTGCACGTATGCGGCTCGATTACACGAGCATGCACATGGGGGCTTGCACGGCACGTTCCCACCCAACAAACAACAACCCCACCCCTTCCACCCCTTCTACCCCTCCGCTCTCCCTTCCCCACTCCTCTCACCGTGGCATGAGCTCCTTGGCCAGCGTGGCAGCAACTGGCGACCCCACACCCGCCCAGTCCACGCTGGCAGGCGCCGACGCTGACGTGGCGGGCGGCGGCGTGGGCAGCAGGGAGGGGTGGGTGAGAGCAGCGACCCCCTTGGGCCACTCGTTGGTGAGCAGCATGTCAATTGCCGCCCCATCCGCCCCCGCATCCACCAGCGCCTCCACTGCCGCCCGTTCCTGCCGCCCTTCCGCCGCCCCCGTGCCGCCCCCCTGCTTCGAGAGGTACGTGGCGAGATCGTATCTGCCGCCCAGATAGGCCACCTTGAGGCCTGTGGGGCGGAACAGGGAGGGAAGGGGCGGGGTGGAAGACAGGTAGGGCGGATTGGATCCAGCAGGCAGGCAGAGAGGGGACGGCTTGATTTGGCCTTTGGAAACAAAGCAGAGAGCACACAGTATGACAACGCACGATCAATGACCGGCCACTGGTTTTGTTTGAAAGTCCACTCACGCACCGCACAGGTCAGCAATGCCTGCTCCGCGCAGCCATTCGATATTGTCACATATCTTCACGCGCCTGTGCGACCTCCACTCCCCCTCCCCCACCTCCTCGTCCTCCTCTTTCTCGCCTCCCCCTGACCCCCCTCCTTGCCTGCCCGCCCCAACCTCCCCCTTGCTCTCCTCCGCTTCCCCTGCTTCACCGACCGCTTTGCTTCCATCCCCCTCCCCCTCCGGTGCCTCTTCCCCTTTCCCTTTCTCCTCCCCCTCACCTTTGTCCTCTCCCTCCCCTTTCTCCTCCCCCTCCCCTTTCCCCCCCTCTTCTACTTCCTCCTTCTGTTCTTCCTTCCCTTCCTCTTTTCCTTTCTCCTCCCCTGCTTCCCCTTCTTTCCGCGTCGCCGCCCCCCCTCCGCCCCGCTCAGCTATCTCCAGCAGTCGCTGCGCGCCGACTCCAATGTCGCCAATCAAGAACGTCGGAAGCGGCGCCTTGGCGCGCCCCGCAATATAATCCTCCAGCTCCGATTGGCCGCCAGCTCCGCCTCCACCGGCGGTAGCGGGATCGGCGGGCGGGAAGAAAGCGCCGACGCAGAAGAGACAGTCGAAAGGACCGTTGGACTTGTTCACCTGTGATTGGTGGAGCGGAGGGCGGGGAGAGAGGGAGACGGTGAAGAGGACAGAGGAAAGGCAAGAGATCACAGGTACAGTGACGAAGAGGTGGATGAGCCCGAGGAGGTTACGCCGAAGAACCTCCGGGAAGACGGGATCGTTGCTCCTCGAATAGGTTTACACGGAGCGGACACGAACTAATTTAATCGCGAGATTTCCCACATGTCAGCACAGCCACGGCGACTCACCGCAGCGGCTCGTTTGAAGAGCAGATGCAGGCGTCCTTCCACGTCGCCCGCGAAAAGGTATCGACCGTGAGGCTCGGTCGCCATGGGAGAAGAGTCTTACAATGCACTGGCTGAATTGAATGTGTATGGGCCTAGAGTTCTACTGGATAGCAGGTTGAAGGCGCAAATTACTGGCTGGGTCTGGGAATTTGAGATTTGGGTTGTGCTGTGCACCCCCTACGAATTAGGGTTCTTATGTCGAAGGCACCGAAAGAACAGCGTGTCGAGACATTGGTTCGAATTTAGAAGTCTTGGCTCGGCGACTGGGACACATTTGATTTGTTGTGCTGCGCCCTCAGGCTCGTCAAACCTTTGCAAGCCTCCGAGGCACTCCCAAGGCTCCTCAGAAGCATGAAACTTCCTCGAGCTTTGCTCTAGCAGGGTCCGAGCCACAATCAACCACCAGCAACCTTGAAGTTACACTACTCGAGCCAGCACTCGAAGCTCGGCAGTTCCACTGACCAATAGGAGATCAGTCTTATTGGTCAGTAGGGGCTCGCACGAGGGGCGGCTTGGATGTGGACTTGAGGCGGGGCGAGCCTGGTGAAATGTGATTGATTGGAGGACCCGCTGGTTTGGGAAGATTGGTGGATGCGAAGAAAGGGAAATCTCGCGCAAGTTGCCGGGCAGAACGAAGAACGAAAGCACCCTCGGTTTTCTCCTCCCTCCCAACCATCCTCTCAATTTCCCCCTGCGCCTCGCCTCGCCTCCATCCTTCCCATCCCAACCAAGTGGATCCCTCTCCGCTATCTCCGCGCCTGATATCTCATACACTCTTTCCTTTCTGCTCGTAGTCGCTATTGTTTTTCTAACGACAGGGAATCTAGCGAGTATCCGAAGCGTACTGGGTCGTGTGGTGCACTGCGGTATTGAGTCGACATTAGATAACCGCGGTGCTTGACATTATCTGGAGCAGGAAAACAGCATTGGCCAGAAATCTCTAGGTTTTATTTTCTAAATATACGAGATCCATTATCAAAATGTGTTCCTGAAGTGTCGTTTAAGTCGCGGCGCCTAGTCGCCTCCGCCAGCCTGCCATGCCGAGCAACAGCAGCAGCGGCGGTGGGGATGGCGACGGGGAATCGGCAACGCCGCAAGTGGTATTGACGCGGCACGGGGTATGGCTCGACGCGACCTTCCCCGACTCCTCCGTGGGCATCGGCGCGAGCTGCGGCGTACCTGGAGGCGCCGCTTTGCGTAGCGGATCTCGCGGCGGCGTGCGACGGAGGGAGGGGGCCGACTACGCGGTGCCGCGTCACGTGGTTGAAGAGACCAAGCGGCAGTTGCGGCCTCTGATTAACGCGCTTAGATTCGTCGAGTCGAGTAACAGGTGCGAACCAGATGCAGCGTGACTTTTGAACGACCGTAGGCTTTGTATCCCTTCCTCGCGCCGGCGCTCTCCGCCCTCCCATTTCTCCTCATTTAAGCTCCTATTTCCGTCGTTTCTTCCGTGCACATTTTTCAGGGTGAATTGCCCTGACGGCGATAACGGGAAGAGCATCGGGCCGCTGCAGATATCGGAGGAGTACCATCGCGACGCGTGGGGCCCGCTGACGGGACCGTGGTCGCAGTGCAGGTGATGCTCGCAGCGCGGCTGTTGGCGGTATTAGCGGCTATTTGTGTTATTAGCGGCTATGTGCGGTATTAGCGGCTATTTGCGGTATTAGCGGCTATTTGCGGTATTAGCGGCTATTTGCGGTATTAGCGGCTATTTGCGGTATTATCGGCTATTTGCGGTATTAGCGACTATTAGCGGCATTAGCGCCTAATGACCGTACCAGCGGCTATTAGCGGTAATAGCCGCTATTGACCGTACGAGCGGTATTTGCGGTATTAGCGGGTATGAGCAGTATTAGCGGAACCGTGGTTCGTTAGTGGCATTAGCTTTCAGTGATGGTTATCAGCGGCTAGCGATCTATACTAATCCGGCTGTTGGATCGCTGTGCATGGCCGCCATTCTTGCACCTTGACGCCTAACTTCCCATCTTCCCTTCCCTCTTCCCATGGCGGCGTGGTGGCATGGCGGAATGGCGGCGTGGCGGCTTGCGGCATGGCGGGTGGCGGCAGGGAGCTGGGGCATGCGGAGGACACGGTGGTGTCGTATTGGATGCGCTACTGCCCGCACGCCATCCGCACGCTCGACTGGGAGCTCCTCGCCAAGGCGCACAACGGTCTGCCATGCCCCGCGCCCCCTTCTTCCCCCGCGTCCTTCCCCCTCCCCCTCTTCCCCTCCTTCACGCCATCCGCACGCTCGACTGGGAGCTCCTCGCTAAGGCGCACAGCGGTCAGCCGCGCTCCCCCTCGCTCCCCTTTCCCCCTCCCCACTCTCCCCTCTCTTCATTCTCCTCCGGCCCTCTCCTTGTCCCGTTCACCAGCTTGTGTCCTTCCCATCCTTCCATTCCCCTCGTCCCCTCCACCCTCTTCCCTTACCCCACTCCATCTCCTCCCAACTCCATCCCCCTACCCCTCCGTTTCCCTCCCATTCCCTCCTCCCACCCCTCCCCCCTGCAAAATATCCCCCCACGGAGCAGGAGGGCCGCGCGGGACGCGCTACAGCAAGACGCAGCGGTATTGGGGGAAGGTGCGCCGCCACCTGCAGCAGCAGCCGCTGCACATTCCGCCCTCCGCCGCCACCATCCCCCCCCAGCGCCCCGTGCACCTTGCGCCCTCCGCGCTCGCAGCTCCTGCAATTCGAGGTGCGTGCGTCGTTCCGCTGGTGGGCTGTTGCGTGGGTGGGCTGTTCTGCGGGTGGGCTGTTGTGCAGGTGGGCGTGTTTTGGGGGCGATGCTCTGTGGGTGCCCGCGTCTGGGTGCTGCTGCATGGTGCGCTGTGCAGCGTGTTCATGCTGTGTGCGGTGTGCAATAGCGGGCGCCCCACAACCCACCTCAACACATACCATCGTGTCTCATCTCCTTGTGTCGCTTTGTGCCTGCAGACCCGTTGCTGTGTGGTAACCAGTCCGTGGTTACATGGTGCGCCGTGGAGCAGCAGAGGCGCAGAGCGCAGGGCGCAGGGGAGGGGGGTGAAGGGGAGTGGGCGATGGGGGTGGATGAGTGGGGGAGAGTGATGATGGTGGCGGAAGGTGGGGGGCTGGAGAAGGGGAAGGGGCATGAGGGGCAGGTGGATGGGAAGGGGCAGAGAGCGCGGGGGCAGTTACACCAGGTGCAGCACACAAGCCGGCATCACAGCAGTCGCCCCGGGAGAAGGAGACCCCGCAGGCTGCTGCTGCCTGTGCGCCTGCTCTCACCCTCCTCCTCACTGCACCGCACTGCACCGTTCGCCCACATCCCCTTCGCGTCTGCTACGTCAGCAGCCATCGCAGCTGCCACGTTGGCGTATCGTCCGTCCTCCCCTCCTTCCTCTCCCAACTATCTATCTACTTCCCCTGCTCTCTTCTTCCCCTCTCCCCGCCCCTCTGCTTCCGCCCACTCCGCCCCTCCGTTCTCCGCCTCACCCCCCCACCGCCCCTCCTCCCCGCCCGTCTCTTCCCCGTCCCCCTTCCCCCGGTCGCTATCCCCCTCCGCATCACCAACGCCAGCGCCAGCAGCGGCGGCGACAGCAGGGGCTGCATGCGCAGCTCGTGGCGCCCCTTCCCCCCTCCTCCTCGCGGACTCCCCTTCTTCCCCCCGCCCTCCCTCCCCCCCGCACGCCACTTGCCAAGGGGACGCGGGGGTGGGAGTAGGGGGAGAAGCAGCGCGCACAGAAGGGGGCGGACGTGCGGAAGCGGGGCTAGAGGGAGATGCGGTGGATCTGGAGTTGCTGCGCGCGCTCATGGGGGGAGACGCGGGGGATGCGGGGGATGGGGGAGATGGGGCGGATGAGGGTCACGAGGGGGTTTGGGACAAGTTGGGAGAGAGAGGCTGGGGTGTTGACATGCTGCTGCATTTGGAGCAAGAAAGGGGGGAGTGGGAGCATGGGGAGGTGGAGGAAGGGCGAGTGCGAGTGGTGGTGGCAGAGGGAAGTGCAGAGGAGGGGAATGAGGAGGAGCAGGAGGAGGGGAGTGAAGGGGAGGGCGACTTGTGGCAGCAGCTGGCGGCGCTTATGGGGGGCGCTGGGGAGAAGCGGGGCTTGGCAGTGGAATTGGATGAGCTGGATGCGGTGCAGAGCGGCGTGGAGGGGCAGCATGCAGCGGAGGCAGAGGGGCAGGAGGGGCAGGAGGAGGTTGGTGGCGGGCTGTCATACAGGGAGATGGCGCAGTGGCTGCTGCAGCACAGCACGGAGGTGATCTGGCAGGGCCAAGGGGAGGGTGAGTGCGAGGAGGAGGGAGAAGTGGAGGGGGGTGATGAGGTAGGTGCAAGGCAGGAGGTTGGGGAGGAAGAGGCGCCAGGGGAGGCATCAGCAGAGGCAGAGGCGGTGGAGGGTTCTCAAGGCAAGGCGAGTGGTTGGGGAGGAGCCGTACTGCTGGAGCAGCCTGTGCCTGATGCTGAGCTGGCAGGTGCTGCTGAGCTCAAAGGTGTTGCTGAGGTGGCAGGTGCTGCTGAGCTGGCAGATGTTGCTGAGCTGGCAGGTGTTGCTGAAGCAGAATCTGGAAGCAGCAGAAGTGGAAGTGGGGGTCGGATGAGCAGTGTGGTGTGGGAGGTCGTGGGCGCATGGGACCGCCTGCTGTGGGACGATGAGCTGAGCAACGTTGCTGTCGCACCATGTGCTGCTGCTGCCGCACCATGTGCTGCTGCTGCCGCCACCTGTGCCGCGCCGAGCGATGCGGCAGAGGCCGCAGCAAGCAGTGCTGTAGTGCCGTTGGGCGGCGGTTCGAACTATGCTGTCGCACGAGAGATGGAGGAGGGGGAGATGGGAGGCAAGGCAAGGGGTGCGAGGAGAGGTGCAGAGGAGGAGGGTGCAGAAGAGAGTGCACTCGTCCTTCACCCCGCCGTCGCCATCACCTCATCCGCTCCTTCACCTCCCTTTTCCCCCTCCACTCCTCCCACTCCCCTCCCTCTCCGCCTCGCCCTCACCCCCACCACCCCACCTCTCTCCATCTCCCCTGCCTCCCCCCTCCCCCTGGAGCGCCTCTCCCCCTCCCCATCCCTCCCCCTGCCCCTCTCCCCCGACCCCCTAGCAGCGGCAGTGCTGCAACTGTGCTCGCTCTGGTCGCACCTCCACACGGACCTCAGAGAGCGATCTCGCACCTTCCACCGCCTCTCCCTCTCCCTCTCCCTCTCCCCCTCCGGTTCCGCCGGTCCCGCCGCTGCCACTGCGAACCACTCTCTCACCAGCAGCACCGCTCTGCACCGCACGCACAGCTGCATGGATGCCTGGTCGCCAGAAGCAGTGTTGGTTGAGGTGGAGAGGCTGCAGAGACAGTGCAAGGCCGCGGAGAGGAGAGGCAGAGGGGGGAGGGTGGACGGGTGTGGGGAGGCAATGGGGGTGACGTTGGATGGGGAGGTGCAGCTGGAGGAAGCAGCCAGGAAGGAGCATGAGCAGCGGGCGGCGGTAATGCGGGCGGTGCGGGCGGCGATGGGGCGTGGGGAGAGGCTGAGGCTGTACGACCAATGGGGGGTTGACAGGTGGCAGCAGAGCCGGCTGCACACGATAGTGTTTCAGCGGCTGTGGAATGAGCCCATGCGGTGCGTGGCTTGAGCTGCTTTCATGTGATGGTGGCGTATGATGGTGGCATGATGGTGGCATGTGATAGTGAGATGTGATGGTTGCTGGATTGGCCTTGATGTGCAAGTGGCTTGAGCTGCTTCTGATCACCTTAGAATGGTCAGTCCAACAGTCGTTGAGCCTTCACCCTCCCACTTCCTCTCCTCCCCTTGCTGCTGGCCTTCCATCCCCCTCTCATGCTCCCCTTTCCCCCTTGCCCTCCTACCTGCTCTCCCCTGCATGCATGCCTCAGGTGTGCGGAGAGTGCAGCACTGGTCGCCAAGTTCCTTCCCTGACATGACATGACGTCACATCGCATTCCCACCTCCCTCCCAAGTAGACCACAGTGGCTTGTTACCAGGGGGTTTAGTCCCTGTGCTAGGTATCCGGATCTAGAAAACATATGCGTGCTGTAGATAAGGGAAATAAGGCAAACACAATGGCGTTAATACCAGGTGTTTGACTACGCAAATGGCTGATAGTTCGGTTCTAGGCAAAAAAAGCATGATGCGCGTTGGGTCAAATTCGCAAGGCACAGAGAGCCCATTTCATGCATTAGCGGCGCTGATGGAGCACGGAGGCATGGATATCAGTGGCCCACAACTCAACTTGCTGCTATGTTAAAAACACCAGTGAGGCACTACACTAGACCTACAAGATAGCCTAGACCTCGGTTTGTGGCACAAGCAGTGCGGCAACCACAACTGTAATCATGCGCTGGTGCATGTTATCGCCTTGCCTTGCCTTGCCTTGCCTTGCCCACTGAAGCAGCTGCAGCGGCAGTAGCAGCAGCAGCAGCCGCGGCGGAGGCGGTGGCAGCAGCAGCAGCAGAAGGCAACGTATCAGAATGGTGGTTAGGACAATGCAAATGAATGATAAACAGTTGAGGCCGGCTGTTAGAAGAAGCGTCCTGGAGGCTGGTGCCCATGCTTGTCTGGGCAAGCCACAACAGTTGGGGTCCCTGCAGTTGAAACGGCTCCAATCGCAGTGGCCAGAGCACCTGCACCTGCACCTCGAGCTCCTCCCTTGGAGCCAGAGTGTTGAGCCGTCTCAAGCAGCAGGGCACCAGCATCCCCAACTCATTCCTTGGAGGAGCAACTTTTGAGACATCTCAAGCAGTCTGCTGGACCTAGAGGAGGCTAGAGCCCGTCTGGAGGAACGTGTGGCACGGGGCTGTACCGCCGCTGCACATACTCCTGCCCTTGCACATCCACCGCCACTTGCCCCCCCATCCCTCCCCCTCCTCCCACCACATCCCCTACCCCCACTGCCCCCTCCACTCCCTCCCACACCCCATCCCCCTCTCCTCTATTTCTATGCTTCCCCTTCCGCCCCTCCCCCTTCTCCCTCAGCTTCCCACTATGCGACTTCTTCTTCCCCCCTTTCCGCCCACTCCCCCCTCCCTCCCGCCCGGACCCGTCTCTCGACCCCGACCGAGCCACCCCCGCCCCGGCCGGCATCACGCCGCCCGCCTCCACGATCTGATCTGCCACGTGCCCGCCCTCGTCCTCCCTCAATTTAGTCACCTCCACCAAATCATACTCCCGCTGCGCCGGCGACTTCCCCCCTCGCTGCGCAGGAGACCTCCCCCCAGACGACCCTCTAGACCCAGGCCTAGACCCCTTGCTGTGACGCCGCGCAGGGGGGATGGCAGCGGAGAGCTCGGGCTGTTGGGGGTCGGAGGGGGCGGCGGGGGGCTGGGGGGCGGAGGGGTCGGGGATGTCGGCGCGGAAGTGGTTGCGGGAGGGCGGGATGGGCGAGCAGAGCGCCTCGTACACGTTGCGCATGATGCCGCGGTTGTTGGGGTACGCCTTCTTGTCGTACCGGTATCGGAAGTTCTCATACGTTGTCTGTGGGACAGTGGAGGGAAGGTAGGGAGGAGCGGAAAAAGGAATTGGTTTTTGCAAGAGATTGTGTACCTGTGAGGGAGTAATGAGCCTAACAAAGGTTGGGGTTGGCCGTCTTGTTGTAGCCATACCGGACGTTCTCGCATGTAGTCTGTGGGGCACCCAGGGGGGGTGCGGGTCAGAAAAAGGTTTGGCTGGTGCAGGTGACTGTGCCTGTGAAGGGAAGGGGGCTACAGAAGGTTGGGGTTGGCCTTCTTGCTGTAGCATAGAAAAACAGTTTCGACCTGGATCCACAGGTAACTTCGTCCTAATCTCCTCTAGGCTGAGCTTAGGCTAGTAAGGATTGAATAGGTAAGAAATTGTCATTCAAACCTGAGCGTACGCGCGTTTCGGCGGGTGGCCTTCATCAGCGCTCTCAGAGTTGCAAGAAAAAACTAGTCCTTATCTACTCCCATCTACCGTGCCCAGCACTCAACCTAAAAAACAAGAAATCCAGTGCGGCTCGTCATTGCGACTCGCTAGCTGGTTGTACAACATTTACAATAACAATCCAGCATGCAGGTTGGTGGGACGAATTCAATCCCATCAACCCACGGGGGTGGTGTATCCCCGTTTTTGAAACCTCGCTTTCACCAAGAGGTTGCGTACCCTCTTTGGTAGGCGCCAACACACTAACATCCGTGGGAGGGAAATAAGTTGCAGCGTGTGTTTTTTGAGAATTCTCAAAAAACCCACTCTTGCTGTAGCGGTACCCGCAAGTCCTTTCATGTGGTAGCACACTGGCACACACAGGACGGCAGGTCGCCAGGCGGACAGGATCAGTTTGACTGGTGCAAGAGACATGAGAGGAGACATCACCAATCAACCCTGGCTTTCTAAATCTGGCTTTGGTTCAGTTTTCAGGTTTTTGTTTTGGGCTTGCGGTGGAATGAGCAGCAGGGGAGGCGTACCTGGTTAGTGCTCATGAGGTAGAGGTGGAAGGCGGAGAGCCCCCCCACGAACCACACAGCGAGGAAGGTGTACGCCATGAGCACAGCCGCCATGGGCGCCTGCCCCAGCGCCTGCCACACCGTGCGCGTCTCCCCCCCCGGCTCATACGCATTGTCCATCAACACCTGGCGGAGGCGCAGGCAGAAATGGGTGGGTGCGAGGGTGAGGGCGGGGGAGAGGCCAGGTGTGCGTTGACGGATCGTACTGGGTTGGTGGAGGGGCGGCATCAAAAGCCAAGTCAGCGAGTGCTGGGCAGCAGGAGGGGCGGCAGAGACGGGTACCTTGATGAGGTAGGCGGAGAGCGAGAAGACGTAGATGCAGAGCGCCGTGGTGGAGCACACGAAGAGGAAGAAGAAGCGGTAGTTGCGCTGTGCAGGGGTGGGGACGGAGAATGGGAGGAAAGGAGACGCAAGGAGAGATATGAGATCAGAAATGAACATGCAAACCGAGAGGTGACAAGCCAGATTAACCTGTCACGTGCCCTATAAAGTGCCTGGTGCCAATCCCCTTCTTCCCCTGCCTCTGTACTGGCATGGCTTTCTCCCTCTCCTCCCCTCTCTCCCTGCTCCTGCACGTGAGAACATACTAACTCATTACACGCCCTATGAAGTGTCTGCTGCCAAGTCCCGCTCTCCCCTGCCTCTGCACTGCCGTGGCTTCGCCTTTAGAGGCGCCTCAAAAGTCGCTATGCGCCCACAAGTGTCTGCTGCCAAGTCCCGCTCTCCCCTGCCTCTGCACTGCCGCGGCTTCTCCCCCTCCTCACCTCTCTACCTGCCCCTGCACGTGCCTGTTCCCTCCTCCCCCCTCCCCCTGCCTGTGCACCGTGTGCCTATACCCCTCCCCCCCCCTGGCGCGCACCTTGCCGATGCACTGGCCCACCCACGGGCAGTGGTGGTCGAATCTCTCCACGCAGTTGTTGCAGATGCTGCAGTGCGAACACCGCGGCGGCCTGCCGCGCACAGGGGGGGGGGTTGGCGGGGGACGCGGGGAGCAGGGTGGGGGAGGAGGGGAGAAAGGAGGAGATTCTTGAGAAGATAGAGTTAGCGCAATCCAGGGAACCAGCGGGGACGGATGGGGGGAAGGAAGGTGCGGGTCCATTAATACGTATCTGGCTAAAAGAGGATTTCAAGATGAGGAGAGCACGCGCCGTGCTCACCGGTACAACATGCACGTGTCGCAGTATTTGACCTTCACCGTCTTGCCCTTTATCACCACGTCCTTCGTCCGCGGTAGCCGCCGCCCCCCCGGGCGCGGCGCCTCCACGTCACCGTCGGGCTCGGGGGGCTGCGTGTTGCGCGGGACTATGCCTGGATCGCGGCTGGAGGTGAATAGCAACACGCACAGATCCTGCGCACCGCGGCGTGGGGGAGAGGGGGCAGGGGATGGGGATGGGAGAGGGTGGAAGAGTGCGGAGGGATGCGGGAGGGTGGACGGGGGAGGAGGAATTGAAGGGAATGGCTGCGACAGGGGAAGGCTGTAAGAGGGGGAGGGAAAGGTTGGATGGGAGGGGGAGGGTAATGGGGGATGGGAAGGGGGGGATGGCAGATGAGGGATGGGACAGATGGGATGGGAAGCGAGACGGGACAGGTGGGATGGGAGGGAGGATGGTAGAGGGGGATGGGAGAGGTATTGGAGAGCGGGTGGATGGGAGAGGATGGAGGGGGGATGGAAAGCCGCGACGAGGAAGAAGGCTTGAGGTGGGATGGGTGTTGATGGCAGCTGCATTGAGAGGGAGCCCTACGCGCATTCACTACATGCATGCGAGCTGTTAATGAATCCCGAGCAACAGGTAACACAGGGCTAATGGTAGAGTGGATCGGGGAAGGGGAAATAGGAACTATGAAGGTGGAACGAAGGTGGCAACCAGGAAGGCGATAAGCACACAGTCTGAAGGGTCGGAAGAAGGTGGAGCGACGAGGACGAAGATTGGAAATTGGAAGAAGCATCGGTAATAGAAAGATATAGCGAGCTTGATTGAAATTCCTTCGAGAGTAACGAGATGAAGCCTCAGTGATGGGTAGGACGTAGGGTGGCTACGAGTCACTCGCTACTCACCCATACTACGAGGCAGATTCCAACTATTAGTATCGCGATGCCACCCGGGACTTTATTAATGAACTGAGCGCCAACGAATATGCAGAATAGCGTCCCCGGTATGGATATAAGGGCGATGGATATGAAGAGCGACCGCACGTCCGGACCGAATATGCAGCGACCCCAGCAGAAGAAATTCTGAAAGGGTACGGAGGCAGATCGGGTGTACGAGCAAGAATGATTGGAGTTGTTTCAGCGGCAGGAGAAAGTGGTAGCAATTGCTGCATATACCGAGGAAAAGCGGTAGACCTAGGGCGTCACAAGGAATCTATTAGGAAGACTTACGTTACTGCCTTTCCAAGCCTGATACACCTTCGTCATTGCAAGAATCTATTGACCGTCATTCCTAGCGTTATGAAGCACGAGTAGATTCTAAGAAGCACGAGATTCTTCACTCTTCACATGAGCTAACTACCAGGAACGCGTCGACCTCTGCGACTAGTTAGAGGTCACGCACGGCAATTCATTGAAACCACGCGGAAAGATAGACAGGAGCCGGAGCGAAGCTACGGAATAGGAATAACGACGACGTGTTGTGGTGACAGGCTACTTGGCTGTTTTGGTCGGGAAAGAAAGCTACACACCAAGCAAGTGCACAACGGCAAGCAATTGGGGGATTCAGGACTCAGCAACCACGAGCAAACTGAGGAGCCAAGTCAATGTAGGGTAGCGGAGGATGGCGGGGGAGTTGCTGGGTAGTTGGCGGAAAGGCGGGACGGAACGGGGACAGTGGGATGGAAAGGGAACGTGTCGAGAGTGCCGTGTGGACGAGTTTCGACGACCACTGGTCACCTCGGTTTCGCCGCAATGTGCTTGTCGCCCTGAGGTGATCCGCACCGCAGAGCCTTGGTTCTGCTTGACGTGGCGACGAAAAGGTCGTTGGGAATTGCGACTGAAGGCTTCGCAAACCCGCCAAATTCAACCCAATTGCGGCTGGCGGCAGGCGTGACCTCCCTGGCTCACATGATCGCACGGGAGGCGCACCGATGCAACCAGCTCTGACGAATTTTGGTTTGCATACACCCGCCAACTGACGGGAACGGTAACAGAGGAGACAGGGACAAACAAATACGCGGTAGAGTGCAGCTGGCTGGTGACTTATGTGACAGCCAAGAACTGACACAGCCATATAATAATGAGACACACAACATGAAACTCTGAAGTTGCAACTACCAAACTACCGGTACTGCTGCCTACCAATGCGGAAGATGGAGATTTATATCCTAACCTAACCCATCGTTCATATAACAGGCTGCATTCACCGGGGGCTAACATAGTTCCTCCTTAGTGCAGGCCTCACTGAGGGCAGGGGTACGTTGAACAGGTTGAAGTAACTAATGTATGATTGTGGTTTGGGACCAATCATTTGCTTCGGACAGCTTCTGAATTGTGGGAACCGCTTCAACACCTCGGAGTTGCTCCTCAGCCCATAATCCCCATTCTTAGGGTCCCTGAACCCTGCCTTGTCAATGCTCGTGGCGAAATACCGCATGCGGTTGAGAGCAGGCACGGAGGGGAACGGCGCACAGTTGGGCATGTAGATGACATATTTTGGAGAGCCTGACGGGGTGGCAGAAACTAGCTCTGCGTAGTTTTCAGTGGGCAGCCCGCTGCATCCAGATGTGACCGCGCGGCTGTGAGCAGCATCTGTGCCGTTGTTGCAGTCAATGCCATTGATGCGGTTCTTCCCACAAAAGTTGGTCAGATATGGATAATTCTGCACCAGACAAAGGACATGGCAAGGGGAAAGTGTGGTGAGATAACGGCAAAAAACAGCAGCCAGGAGACGCAAGAGACATGCCAACATCAATGCAATACAGAATCTGGACAAATAGACCAAGTGGGGCTGAGTGAAAAACGCACCCATCGGATCTCGGGCGTCTGGAAGTAGGTTTTGAGGAGGCGGTTCCAGTTGGGGCCGGCGTAGTTGTCACAGTTGTTGAGGTGGTTGTTCTGGCACGAGATGTACCCCACTGAGAACTGCGTCGTGTTGATCATCACCATGCCCAATATCATATTGCTGCAGGCCACAGGGAGCAGAAAAAGACAATGCAGAAAAAAAATCAAGAGAAATCGTATGGAGAGCATACCGTTCTTATGCGAGCAGCGGGAGAACAGCAAAGGGCGATAGGCTTCAAGAAATTTGGAAAATCCAACTGACAGCACCATGCATGTGCACCTCCATCCCCAACTCACTTCTTTCCAGAGTTGAGCTTGAGCCCATCAGCTGTCTGGTCGCACACAAGCCCATCCGAGATGACCCCACTGGACACCCAGTCGATGTACAGGCAGTGCCCCCCGCGGTACACATAGTTGCACCGCAGGTAGTTCCCAGGGTTCACCCAGTGCGTGTCAAAGTAAATCCCACTGTTGTCCAGCCGCGTGTTTGCCCCTGTCTCCCCAAAGTCGTGCCGAATCTCATTGTAAGCCACTTTGGTGAGCATGGCATCGCCGACGTTGTTCATTCCATGGCCCATCTGAATCCCAGCGAGGGTAAAGTCGTGCAGGCGGTTATTCATCACGTTCACCCCCACGCCGCCCCACAGGATCATTATCCCCACGCGCGCCCGCTGCGCCTGCTCCCGCCCCTCCCCTCCGGAAAACAGCTCGTTGTTTGTAATCCACACATTGGACCGCTGCAGCGTGGGGCCATGCCCAGAGTACGACACACGGATAGCAGCCGGCCAGTTGGCGGGATTCACAGTGACTCGCATGTTGTCGATTCGCGAGTACGCCGCGCGCATGACGTCAATGCGTCCGAACACCGTGCCCTGTGTGACTTGCACGGCAAAGACGCGGAAGAGGAAGATGGCAGGGCAGGCGTAGCGGCCGATGTAGATGTCTCGCACCTGGTCAATGTTGGGGGAAGAGTAGATCATAGTATCAGAGTCCTTCACGGGGACGACTTTTGAAAGTTCTCAGAAGTGACTCAGATAATGCGGGGCAGGAGTTGCAGCTGGTGTGGACGTGGCGCACCTGGTCGATGTTGGGGAAGCGGCAGATGGTGGTTTCAGCGTCGGTGACGGGGATGTGGAAGTTGATGCCGTGCACGAGCACGTTGTGCGTGTTGAACAGCTCCAACACTGGCGTGCTGTCATGGATGGGAGGAAGGCGGATGGGTGGGGCAGGGATGGCAGGAAAGAATGGAGAGCATAAGAGAGTGAGGATAAGTTGATGCTGTGCGCGAGCACATTGTGCGTGTTGAACAGCTCCAACACTGGCGTGCTGTCATGGATGGGAGGAAGGGGGTGGGTGGGGCAGGGATGGCAGGAGAGAATGGAGAGCATAAGAGAGTGAGGGTAAGTTGATGCCGTGCGCGAGCACATTGTGCGCATTGAACGGCTCCAACACTGGCGTGCTGCACATGCACGGGTGGGGGGAGCGGGGTGGGTATGTTGGTTAGGCAGGGATGGCAGGAAAGGATGCATCAAGAGGAGGGACATGCACGAGGAGGGGATGGTGACTGTCCGGGTGATTGCTGCCTATGCATGATGGGGGGGCGAGTGAGCGCCAGCACAGAGAGGAGGAGACAGTGGCGTCGTGAATCGGTTGGTGCTTGCAGGCCACTCACGCAGTGTTGGGCAGGGAGATGGTGAGCCTGCCGGGGCGCGTGGCGTTGAAGATGGTGCACGAAAAGTTGGCGCCGAACACCAGTCCACGTGTCAGGCGCACGTTGCTCCACAGCAGCATGATCACAAGCGTGTCGTTTGGGAGCGTGGCGCGGCGCAGAATGTCGCGCTCGAACCCCACGTTGATGATGATCGGCGGGTTCGGCACCTTGCATGGGCGCGCGCACGAGTTGGCGGACACGCGCGGCGGGCCTGCACGGAAGGGACGGGGGAGCAGGATGTGATACGACAGGGTGGCAGATGGAGAGTGTCGATAAGGCGGCACATTCGCTGCAGGGATGAGGAAGGCAGCGGGAAGGCAGCGGCGAAAGGGGAGTGGAGGGGAGACTGGGGGGTTTCCGCGAGGGGAGTGACGCAGCCAGCCGCCAGCAGCAGCAGCAGCAAGGACGTGTGAGATCGTACCAGGAAAGTTAGCAGCGGAGGGGTCGTCCGATATGTAATCCATGGTGCGAGCTGTCGTTCCATCGCCGCGTGAAGCGTGGCGAGCGGCACTGATGTCGCCGTCGCCGTCGCCGTCGCCGTCGCCAGAGCTCGTCGCGGAGGCATCGCCGATAGCGACTGCTGGGAGCAGCAGGCATGATGCGATCACCACGCCAGCCAGTAAGGCACGAGACATGCTTCCTGACAGCATGTCGACCGGTCTCCTGACCGGAAATGCTACGACACCGGACGTTCGAGTCAACGTGACGCAAGACATGATGCTCGCGTTGGCTCTGCCAGCAAAAGGATGCGAAGTTAACTCGCTCGTCGCTACTCGTACCTATCAGCGGAATATAAGGAATCCGCTTGGTGACCTCGCAAGGTACCCAAAATTCAGAACTCAAACCCGTCGGACTGGCTATCATGTTTTGTGGAGCGAATGCTAGCAACGACTCGCTCAGCACCATCCCGCAAAGTGCTCCCACTCCAGGATCCTCAACGCGGCGGCTGCGACGGTTGCCTTGAACGAGTACCGTGTCGGGGCGTCGAGAAGGTGCCATGGCGATGTACTGGTTGGGAGGAGCAAGGGAGCTTCAGCTGAAAGAGTGGCTGAAGTTCAAAAGAGTGCACCGCGATGGACATGGAGACAACTTCAAGGTCGTGAAGTCATGGCAGTCTGTGTCCGCGAAGTCATGGCAGTGGCAGTCATGGCCGCGAGGTCAGCGATTTTCACGAACATTATGGTTACCGTTACAGATAATGAAAGTGTGTGTCCTCGATATACGGGTACTTCGTTAGTTCTTGCGTAGTGAAGATATTTTCTGCTTTCTTTCAGCATAAAGCTTGAATTGCTGGAGCTTGGAATTGATTGGTTGAGCCTTCCAGTCTGATGATGTAGAAAGGAAGCTGCACACGCAGCATCCCAGCCCAGGAAGGTTCAACTGTTTCTTGGGTCGACCTTGAAGTTGTTGATGAAGCGCTCTTCTCTGACCACGATGTCAGCACGACGAATCCAACGTGGACCAGGCTCTGATGACGACAGGATGCTCGTGGAAAAGAGCCAACGTGCCCAACACTGGGTGGTTCGCGTCAAGAATTTGGTGGAAATTCCTCCACGTGGCAGAACTAAGCTCCAGAATCCGAGGCGGCTCCATAATTCCGCTTCGTGTCCGCTTCTCCGCCTCTCTTATCACGCCTTTCCCACCACTACCGCGCGCCCTACTGGATTCGCCGCGGTCGCGGATGATGGTTGTGAGGGCGTTGGGGTGCATCAGCACCCGCCCCTCCGTCCTGCTTCGCGAGCGCCTTCCTGACCTCATCAGTCAGCTCCACTCGTCCACCACTTCTCCGCACCACTCCCCATACCGCCTCCCCCCGTTCCGCTCTTCCACTGGTCAGGTCCGCATCAATCCCTAACACCTCGAGATTGCCGCCGTGGAGCCAATCAGTCCAACTGCCATCATTGTCTATATTTACAAGAAGTCCGTTCCAATTTTACACTTAATCGCTGGTTGCAATTCCTTCAGGGCGTAGAAAGTCCCTTTCCGGCAGTCTAAAGATATATTTATTGCGATTAAGCCATGGACGCCCTCGTCGCCCACTCCCGAATTAGCTTGAACAGCTCGTTTCTCTCCCGTGCAGACGTGTCTGATGCGTCCCTCCTGTCCCGTCAGATTGCCTCCGCGCGACCATCCCTGCCGCCATTGACGCTCCCGAGAAGGCGTCTCTCCCTTCGAGCCTCAGCCGCCAGCAACGGCGCCGCGGTGTCCCCGAACGGCACTGCTCGCCCTCTCAATGGTGCTTCGTTCAACGGCGTCGCTTCACCGGGACGCCTCGAGGGCCCTGCCACTATCCTGTAAGCCCTCTCCCGGGATTCCTTGTCTCGTTCAAGATCAAGAACACGAATCCAGCGTTAGCGGAGTGAAGAACTTGGCCTTTCATCTGACGATTTTCTTGTTCGTGCAGATGGGGAGATGGTCCCATGCCGCTGGTCGAGCCAGAAGCGGCGGAGACAGACAGGGAAGCGCCGAACAGACCGCTGTCGCCGAGATCGCCGGCGCGCAGTGAAATGCCCGGCGTGCGCCGCGTAGAGGAGGCGATCGCCGCCATTCGACGAGGAGAGGTGAGCGCGACGATGGTGTGGCTGGGGGAGAGGGTTCCGGTAGCTGAATGTTGGATCGTGGAAAGGGGAGCAAATGCCGCGTGGTTCGCAGTAAGCTATGGAAGCCGAAAGCATTAGCTCTATTCAACCCGAATCATCCACCTGTGCTCACCTGTGCTCGTGAAGAATTGCACTTACATTAGTTGTTTTCCGCGACTGATCGACCCCGTATTTATTTCGTTCGGTGACAATCCTCGCGTCGTCGCAGGTGGTAGTGGTGGTGGACGAAAACGTTCGGGGAGTCGCCGACATTATCATGCCCGCGTCGCTCGCGACGGCGGAGCGCATGGCCTTCATGGTGCGCCACGGCAGCGGCATCGTCTCCGCCGCCGCGTCCCCCGCCGTACTCGACCGACTCGCCATTCCGCCCATGCTGGCGGGCACCGAAAGCGGCGCGAATAACGGTTCCGCGTCCTCCGTGTCGGTGGTGAGTCGACGATTATCCGTCAAAGTAGCGGTCTCAATGTAGCGACTAGCACACAAAACCTGCTCTACCTCATCTTTGCGATCGCCAGATCTCCACAAACAATACCATTTCCCTCCCTCTCCACCCTTTCTCCAGAGCCCTATCTTCCCCGCCTCACTGCTTCCGCGCTTCTTTTCCCTCCCCCTCCCGCTCGCCCTTCCCCTTCCCCTTCCCCCAGGACGTGGCGGTGGGCACCACTACGGGCATCTCCGCCGCGGACAGGGCACGCACGCTCAGGGCCCTCGCGGACGCGCGCTCGCTGCCCGCGGACTTCTGCCGCCCGGGCCACGTCTTTCCGCTGCGCGCACATCCAGGCGGAGTGCTGCGCCAAGCCACGCGCGTGGAGGCTGCGGCGGACATGGCGGTGCTGGCGGGGCTGTCGCCTGTGACAGCTGTCACGGAGCTGCTCAATGATGACGGCTCGCTGCCAGATGCCGCCCAGACGCAGCAGTTCGCCGCCCAGAACGCGCTCACGCTGATCTCCATCCAGGACATCGTCAGGTGAGGCCTGTCACATGCACTGTTATGCCATGCCTTGCATTCGCACATGTATGCCATGCGTTTCCTTGCCACACCTACCATGTCCTCATGCTCCCCCGCCCATTCTTCCGCCACCCATTCCCTTCTCTCCCCCACACAGGCACCGGCGGCTGGTGGAGCGTACAGTGAGGCGCACAGCAGTGGCGCGGCTGCCCACGGAGTGGGGCACGTTTGACATTGTGAGCTACATGAGCGACGTTGATGGCATCGAGCACGTGGCCATGGTCAAGGTGTGCACCACCCTCCCATTCCACCCTCTCTCCATTACAATGCCAAGCGGATGCAATGATCCATGTGCGCCCTAGTAGTGCTGCACAAGTGACACATCTCCGCCTCTCTCTGCTCGTGGCAACTGCTGCTGATTGGTTTGGCTAAACCCGCATCTCCTCTTGTTCCTCCCTCTCTCAATTCCACAGGGCGATATATCATCAGGCGAGGATGTGATGGTGCGAGTGCACAGCGAGTGCCTCACGGGTGATATTTTCGCCTCCGCCCGCTGCGACTGTGGGCCCCAGCTGCAGCAAGCACTGCGCCGCATTGAGGCCAAGGGCCGCGGCGTGTGCATCTACCTTCGGGGACAGGAGGGTCGCGGGATAGGCCTGGGGCACAAGCTGCAGGCGTACAATCTGCAGGACATGGGGCGGGATACTGTGCAGGCGAATCTGGACCTGGGCATGCCGGCGGATGCCAGAGAGTACAGTGCAGCGGCGCACATTCTGAGGGATCTGGGCGTGCGGTCGCTGCAGCTGATGACAAACAACCCCGCGAAGCTGACGGCGATAAGTGAATTAGGGTTTGCTGTCAACGGACGAGTGCCGGTGCTGTGCCCCATCAATATGGTGAGTCTGCCATGACATCTGACCCTCAGCCCTCTTCCTGAACCTCACTGCCCTGCCCCACTTCTTTTCCCTCGAGCTTCTTTTGCTGCACCCGCCATGCTCATCGCTCCCCTCGTGCCCAATTTATCCCACACTCACCGTGTATCTGTGCTCCATGTGTCTCGCTTGTGTGGCAGGAGAACCGGAGATATCTGGAGACAAAGCGCGCCAAGATGGGTCACCTGTATGATGCATCACTGGCACAGCCCATCAGTGGCGGGTGGGAGGCACGGGGGGAGAATGCCGAGGAGGTGGGTGGAAGATGCTGAGAGAAGAGTGTAGCTGGGATAGGGGTGAAGGCTTAGTAATCTTAGGTGTAGGTCAAGCTGCTCTCTTCATTATTATTCTCCTGTTGGTTCAGGAAAGCCGTGATTGTGCATATGCTTGTCATTCATGCATTGCCGAAAGAGCAAGTTAGCCAGCCCAAGCGTACCGAATGGTATGTCTCCACCACTCTTCCTGAGCTACATGACTGCTGCAGTCAGGACTCAGAACAAGAAGATTCTGTCCAAACACCTTTCGAACACCAAAATACTTACGGTACCTTAGCTTAGTACCACATGGCTGCCAAGCAGGACCTCAGAAGTCAGGATATTTACCCTGAATTCCTGAAGTTTGACCCACGTTTTTTATCATGACCCTGATGCATCAGCCTTTGTTTTAACTGCCCTTATATTTCAGTGTTTTTTTATTTCGAGCTCTGATTTTTCAGTGTTTATATCGAGTGCGACCCCTGAATCTGAAATTCCCGTCTTGCCTTTTCGCCGTGATTGGTGCCGTGACTGCTACCTATGCAGCCAACCACAGTACCTACAGTGCATTTTTGCCATGATTGAGCCCATGAGCGATAAAGATTGCCCAAATTCCTCGCTAAGCAAAGTCCCTTGACGAGTACGGGGATAACAATCAACGTAACAGTGAATAACAACACTGACTGTTCAGCCTTTATATTTTTTGTACACTGAAAAATCAGTGTTTTCAACACGACGACACTGAAAATCAGCATCGGCCTTCAAGGGACACTGAGCGATCAGCGTGCCCCAAAACGAATCTGAGGGCATGCTGCCAAGCGTTTAGTCACAAAGTTGCAACTTTTAGGTATTTCTTTGTGCCGTATGTTTAAAGCCAAATGTACACATTCAACTTGGCTGACTATTCAAGATGTTAACATTGGGGTTGTGTTCTTCTCAAAATGAGTTGAGCAGGACATAACCATTGCCAAACCACGCTAGAGATATACCCTCCACTAAAATTTGTGTGCTTCCACTCCTCTGCAATGAGTGATGTGTAGTACAATACACTGCAGCTAGTTATTACACATGTTGCGGTCAGCCTACCACTCCCAGATCTGGCAGCTGCTGCTGCTTACGGCAAAAGCACGGGCCAGAGTAGTAACCTCAGCACCCAAGTGCCCAAACAGTCCCTCTCTTCACCATGTCATTCCTGCTCCCACCAATGCAGTCTCTCGGACAGCATGCAAGCCTTTCTGCCACTCCTACCCACTCCAGCAACTCCATCTCACTCCAATGCTGTATTCCACACCTTGTTCCCATGTCAATACTTCCCTAGAGCACGCTACGCTACGATCTGGCCACTGCCTGCTGCAACATCACCCATGTCAAGCATCTGTCAGGGCGGTTATCCACCCCTGCTCCAATGCATGCGTCACCTCCAATCCGCTTCTCCCCACCCTCACTCCACCTGCACCACTCTTCCTGTCTCCCAAACCCACCCTCTCTGCCGCACCAACCTCCAACCCCTTTTTATCCCTGCATACCCCCCCTGAGCCCCCGCACCCGCAACCCTCACCCCACCATCCCCATCCCCCCCCCTCCCACACCCCACTTCCCCCTCACGAGTGAATGGGCTTCCCATGGGCGGCCAAAGCAGCCTCTTTCACAGCTTCCGTCAGCGTGGGGTGTGCATGGCACGTGCGGGCTAAATCCAGCGTCGTGGCACCATGCTCCATGGCCAAGACACACTCCATGATCAGCTCTCCCGCGCTCGGCCCCAGTATATGCGCGCCCAGCACTAGATCCGTCTCCTTATCCGCTAGAATCTTCACAAACCCCTCCACCTCCCCCATCGCCCGCGCCCGGCTGTTCGCTTTAAAGGGGAATTTACCCACCGTGTACTCCATCCCCGTCGCCTGCAGCTCCTCCTCGGTCATACCCAGCATCGCCACTTCCGGGTGCGTGTAAATAATCCCGGGCACCGTCGCATAATTCACCTGCCCGTGCCCGTTCATGATGTTTTCCACACACGCAATTGCATCCTCCTCCGCCTTATGCGCCAGCATGGGTCCCGGAATAACATCCCCGATAGCATACACAGTAGGCCGCGTGCTCCTGAAATGGCTATCCACGAATATCCGTCCGTTCATGTCTCGTTTCACCCCCACCTCATCTAACCCTAGCCCGTTCGTGCAAGGCACGCGCCCTGCCGCCACCATCACCACGTCAGCGTGAACCTCCCGCGTCTCGCCCTCTCCTTTCGCCGGCGCTACCTGCAGTACCACGCCTTCCTCCGAAGCGTCCCCACGCACCACCTTGGTTCCCAGGAGGAATTTCAGCCCTTGGGATTCGAGAATCTGGTGGTACGCCTGCCGAATCTCGTTATCCATGTACCCGCCAATGCCATCCGCGAATTCCAGTATAGTCACGTCTGCGCCCAGGCGACTCCATACGGACCCCATTTCGAGTCCGATCACCCCGCCGCCCACCACCAGCATCTTTTCCGGAACCTTCTCAAGGCACATCGCGCCAGTCGACGAAACGATTTTTTTCTCGTCGATCGGGACCCCAGGCACCTGCCGAATGTCCGACCCCGTCGCGATGATGATATTCTTCGCCGAGAGGACTTTTTTCGCCTGCCCGACCTGCCCGTGCGCGTCTAACAGGCTCACGGTGACCTCGTGCGTGCCTGTGATGCGGCCCGCGCCCTTGACGTAGTTAACTCGGTGCTGCTCGAACATGCGCTCGACGCCCGACGTCAGGCTTTCTATGGCGTCCGCTTTAAGCGCCATCATCGCCGCTAGATCTACCGACACGCCGTCCACCCGCACGCCGTGCTGCGCTAAAGAGTGCTTCGCTTCGTAGAACTTGCGTGAGGACTCCAACAGGGACTGGGGGGAAGTGGGGGAAAAGGCGGGAAGAGGGGGTTAGAGGGGCGTGTGTGGGGGCAGCAACGGAGCTGGGGCGAGCGGGGTGTGGGGGGAGCGGAGGAGTGCTGGTTGGTTGTTGTGGGTTCCGTTACGGTTTCTTCTAACAGATACTTTACGTGCATGTATTGAATCGAGTGTGAGCAGATGTGTTGAATTATGTGCGAGCACTCACGTGATCTACGTTCATACCCAATGCTGGTCAACGTTCCCCGCACAAAAACCCCTTTAACCGCTCTCAAAGCACTAACAATCAACACCGAGACACACCTTAGAGGGGATGCATCCGACGTTGAAGCACGTGCCTCCGAGCCGCCCGCGTTTGTCAACGCACGTCACCTTCAGCCCCACTTGCGCCGCGCGGATCGCCGCTGCGTACCCGCCGGGCCCGCCGCCGATGATCACCACGTCATTCTCCTCGCGACCGCCATCGCCGGCACGATCCGACGAATACCACCGCTGCGCGCCAAACCAGGAAGATCCGGCTAGATTTGCCGCGCTTTGCGGCGGTTGTGTGCGGCAGCAGGAAGAGATACTATCAACAAGGCTGGGAGGAGACGAAACCCTAAAAAGTGTGTCGACGAGCGGCAACCCTCGCCTGCGTGCAGCTCTGCAGGCTAAACGGGAATACATGGCGCGCAGCCAGCGTGTCGGGAATGCTGGCGGGACTGGGGTAAGTGGAGAGAGAAATTTCGCTGCTGGCGATCAAGATAGGTGAAGGCTCTGAAATAGGCCTCACTTAAGAGAGATCCTGGCGAGAGAAAACACCCCGCGACGTGCTAGGCTGCTAGAAGAGGACACAGATGGACGAGCGAATGGTGCTGGGAAATAATAATAAACGCCCACGGAAGAGGAAAATAAGGTAGAAACGCATCAGGATTCAGGTGACAGGGAAGTGTGCGGCTGAAGCGGCCTTGAGATTGTCGACAGATGGAAGAAAGATTCGACATGACGGAGGAAGGGCTGGAATGACGCGGACGAGGGGGAGCACCGACGGCCATGTCACGCTGATGCGGTCGCGAGGCGGATTGACAGGGACCACTCTGCCACGTAGGTCCCTCCAAGATACTATCTCTAAGGTTGTCGGGACCAAATCGTACGGTATTCCTTCTTTACATTGAATTTATGATACACCTGTGTATGCTAGTCTGAAAATCACAGATGAGATGAGATGAGATACAGAAAGAACCATGGACACAATACTAGGGTCACCGATAGATACGAAACATATCGGTGATCTCACAGTTCCATTCTCTCCTACCACATGCCATTGCCTCGCACCAAGCTCTCTCAGGCCCCCAACTCCAACAATTTGTTTTCCCAACTTTTGTCCCTCAACTTCCCCTTTCATGCACCTCCACATCCTCACCTCCTTCAACACTAATATCAATCTCTCCATATTCCCCCTCTTCCCCTTCCTCTTCCTCCGCTCCTTCTCTTCTCTCCTCAACCGCTCTTTCTCTTCCCACCCTAACTCCTTCCCCCGGTTCTTCCTCCCCTCCTCCACTCCCCATCGTCCCATTCCCCGTCAAACCATCAGCCACCATCATTGCACGCGGAACTGCAACATTCTGAGTGACCGTCCCCGGCACCCTAACTGTCTCATGATTGGCCGGGGTAAAGCATGGAATGCCCATCTGGTCGGCAATTTTGTCCCGTAGCTGCGCCATCTTGGCACGCTCGCCATGCACCAGGATGACGTGGCGCGGCGCCAGGTGGCGGATAAGGTCGGTGATGCCCTTGGCATCGGTGTGTGGGGAGAATGAGAGCACATGCACCTGCAGCAGCGGAGGGATCATTGCGGGGAAGAGGAAAAAGATATGGGTGTGCCCTTGGTGATGCAAATGCTTGCTATGCACATCCTATGCTTCCATGAAGGAGAATGGGCCTTCATGTGCCTCTTTGCCAAATGCTGCTACTGCTGCATGACTCATGTCATGACATCCTAAATTTCTTCACCTGACAGTTGACCGCCACTTGCGTGCTCTGGTCGACGGCTACCCTCCCTCCGCCTCCCCCTCCCCCTTCTCTTCCTCCATCCCCTCCATCCCCACCCCCACCCCCGCTAGCAGCAGCAGCATTGGTGGAGGCCATGGCCATGATCTTGCCGCCCACCGTGCCGGCCATGCAGAACCTAGGCGGCAGAGGGGGAGCCGCGGGCGGCAGAAGGGAGGGGGGAGAGAGGAGCGAGAAGGTAAACACTTTCCACTGAGGTGGTGAGGCTGCAGCGGCCTCCACTGAGACGCATCTTGCAGATACAGCACCTAGAGAGTATGGATAGCATTGTACACATGTCCCCGTGGAATTCTGAGTCGAGTCATTTATACCTCAGTGGGCCAAGAAGAAATACCCGAGATGGTAGTATGAACACCCACCCTGGCAGCACGAGCAGGTTGCGGGGGTGTGGCGCCCAGGCCTTGAAGGCCTGAAGGGAGAGACCCCCTGAGAGCATGCCGGGCGTGGCGAACAACACCATGGGTGACGGGGCGTCCAGTAGGGCACGGTCGAATGGCCGCACTGGGGAGATGGGGGGAAGTGGGAGTGGGGAGGAGGGGGAAGAAGAGGGAGAAAGAAGTGGTTGAGGCTCCTTGAGAGCACCCTGGGCGAGGGGGCGTCCAGTAGGGCGCAGATGAATGGCGGCACTGGGGAGCAAAGAGGGACGTGTGAAAGAGAGATGGAACGGCCGGAGGGGAGGGAGGAGGGGGGAACTGGGCGTTCTGGGCGAAGAAACAGCAGGTATGCACAGTGCTTTTATTCTGTGCTGGAGCATGTAGCGGGATGTGTGCTGGAGCATGTAGCGGGATGTGTGCTGGAGCATGTAGCGGGATGTGTGCTGGAGCATGTAGCGGGATGTGTGCTGGAGCATGTAGCGGGATGTGTGCTGGAGCATGTAGCGGGATGTGTGCTGGAGCATGTAGCGGGATGTGTGCTGGAGCATGTAGCGGGATGTGTGCTGGAGCATGTAGCGGGATGTGTGCTGGAGCATGTAGCGGGATGTGTGCTTTGTGAAGCTGATTGCGATGCACGCAATGACAACACCGGCAAGTGTCCCATTGGAGCAGGCACACCCATGCATGGCATGGCGTCGTCAGGCTTGGCATGGCGTCGTCAGGCTTGGCATGGCGTGGCATGGTATGGCATGGCCTGGCACGGCGTGGGATGGTAAATGGTATGGCATGGCATGGCATGGCGTGGCATGGTATGGTATCGTATGGCATGGCGTGACATGGCATGCATGGCGTGATGGCACGTATGTACCATGGCGGCAGGCAACCCCATATAGCCTGGCATGGTATGGTATGGCATGTATGGCATGTACCATGGCGGCAGGCAACCCAGGCAACCCCATATGGCCTGGCATGGTATGGTATGCATGGTGCGGCATGCATGTACCATGGCGGCATGTACCATGGCGGAAGTCAAAGATGTTGCGGTTGGCATGGGCTGACTGGATGTGTTGATTGGTCCACGTCAGCAGAGTCTTGTAGAACACCGTGGCCTGGGAGGTCAGGCCTGGGAGGGGGAGAGATGAAGAGAGGAAGTGAGGAGAGGGGAAAGGGCAGGCAAGGCGAGGCCTCGCACTGACAGCATGGCTTTTTTCAAGCAACCTACTTACAGCATACACAAAGGACTGCACCATACCATACATTGGTACATATACTGCTGACACACAAAACTCCCTTGGTGCGAAACAGGTCAGTGGAAACACGAGCACACACAGCTTCTGCGTCCTTCCCACCAAGGGCAATCAATCCCAAACACACCAGCACTGACGTAGATGGGCACATCGAGCCCCATGCGGTGCCAGTACTCGCCCAGCAACACACACAACTCCTGTGCTCGCCCCATGGCGAACAAACACTGAAATGAGCACCTTGGACCCCCCCATCGCCCCATCCCCTCCTATCACGCGACCAAGGGCAAATGCACACAGGGAAGTGGCAAAAATACACACCAGCACTGAGGTAGATGGGGAAAGTGAGGCCCATGCGGTGCCAGTACTCGTCCAGCAACACACACAGCTCCTGCGCTCGCCCCATGGCGAACACAGGGATGAGCACCTTGCCCCCTGCTGCCACACACGCGTGCACGCGTGAGAGGAAGTCTGCCTCTCGACTCCGCCGGGACTCCCTGATGGTTGTTGCGTAGGTGGACCTGGATGGGAGAAAGAGGTGGGGGTAGAGGAAAGAGTGGAGAAGAAGGAGGGATGAGCACCTTGCCCCCCTGCAGCCACACACGTGTGCACGCGTGAGAGGAAGTCTGCTTCTCGGCTCCTACGGGACTCACCGATGGTCGTGGCATAGGTGGACCTGGGGGGGGGAGGAGGGGGAAGGAGAGAATGGGAAAGAAAGGAGGGGAGGGAGAAAAGGTTGAACTTTAAGGCCAACCACGCATGCGCGCGCAAGAGGAAGTCTGCTTCTCGGCTCCGGAGGCACTCAGGGATGGTCGTGGTATAGGTGGACCTGGGGGGAGAGGGAGAGGGGGGAGGGGGGAAGTGGGGACTGGGTTTGTGTTTCTTGTTGACTGGGTGAAGCATGCTGAAGTACCGCTTCAGCACTTCCCTGCCCTGCTCAAGGCAGTGCTGTGCCGTGCAGGGAAAAGGATGACGCTCATATGGCATGGCACAGCAAGTCACAGCATGGCATGGTATGGAATGGCATGGCATGGTGGCATGGCGGTATGGACACATGGAGGGGTGCTCACTCGGAGATCATGAGGTCGGGTCGAAGGCGAGGATCCACCCTGGCTGCTCCCAGGTGCCTGTCAGGTGCCATGTTGAAATCACCTGAGGGGTGCCATGATTAAACCACCTGAGGGGAGCTATGTTAAAATTGCTTGAAAACGATTTGCAGAACCCGCACCAGAAGAGTGTAACCACCATGGGAATGGGCTTGCGGCTTGCCAACATGGGGCCATGGACACCCAGAATGCAATGGCCTGAGTCCTGACCACACACTGCAGGCCTCCCTTCACGTGAGATGAAGTGCACATTGCCTCATAACAGATGGTCTCTAATCACGAGGAAGCCCTGTTCATCTTGGAACGAGTGTGGGCAGGGCAGGAGGAATGTGTGCAGCGCAGGATGGGTGTGTGTAGTGCCAGGACGGCAGGAGGCATGGTGTAGTGCAGAGGCGTGAATACCTGCTATGCTTGCACGGTGGAGTGCAGGCGCTCACCTGTGTAGAGCACGGACGCGCCGTTGCTCGCTTGCACGTGGAACATGGCCGCTCCCAGGACCTGGTGGCGTGGGAGGCGGGTGACAGACTGAACATGGTCGCCTGCTGTATATGGCATTAGACAGTGCATGCCTGTGTGCGTGGGAGAGGAGTGGCCGCGTGATTGAAGGCAGTATGTGCCGTGTGGCATGGCACCAACGGCGCCGCACATGCTGCCACACTTGTACTCACGCTTCCATACCACACTATGCTATGCCATGCTTCATGCATGCCACACCACGCCATGCCACACCACGCCATGCCACACCACGCCATGTTATGCCATACCATGGCCCACGATTGAGTGAACTGACATGGCCGGCATAGTAGGGAGTGATGGTGATGTGCTCGTTCACTTGAATGGTCTGATGGATGTCTACCGGGATGGCTGCATAGTACGCGCACAGGGGCGCACAGGGGCGCACAGGGGCGCACAGGGGCGCACAGGGGCGCACAGGGGCGCACAGGGGCGCACAGGGGCGCACAGGGGCGCACAGGGGCGCACAGGGGCGCACAGGGGCGCACAGGGGCGCACAGGGGCGCACAGGGGCGCACAGGGGCGCACAGGGGCGCACAGGGGCGCACAGGGGCGCACAGGGGCGCACAGGGGCGCACAGGGGCGCACAGGGGCGCACAGGGGCGCACAGGGGCGCACAGGGGCGCACAGGGGCGCACAGGGGCGCACAGGGGCGCACAGGGGCGCACAGGGGCGCACAGGGGCGCACAGGGGCGCACAGGGGCGCACAGGGGCGCACAGGGGCGCACAGGGGCGCACAGGGGCGCACAGGGGCGCACAGGGGCGCACAGGGGGCGCACAGGGGCGCACAGGGGCGCACAGGGGCGCACAGGGGCGCACAGGGGCGCACAGGGGCGCACAGGGGCGCACAGGGGCGCACAGGGGCGCACAGGGGCGCACAGGGGCGCACAGGGGCGCACAGGGGCGCACAGGGGCGCACAGGAAAGGGAGCACGCGAGAAAAACAAAGAACAAAAAAACACCAATCGACAGGAAAATGCAGGGTGAGACTTATATGTGTTGGCTGGTGGGGTATTAACCCCCTCACTCCCTCTCCCCCCATTTCCTCCCCCTCTCACACCCTGCTCTCCCCCCTCTCACCTCGCCCCACTACTCTCCCTTCTCCAGTGCGGATATCCGCACTGGAGAACAGCCCCTCCTCGCCCTCGCCCCTGCGCTCCACCACCCTCCACGCACCTCCACGCCCCTCACTCTTCCCCGCCCCTTCCCCTGCCTCTTTCCCTCTAATCTCCCTCACCTCGGCCCACGGCCGCAGTGATATCCGCACTGGAGAACAGCCCCTCCTCGCCCTCGCCCCTCCTCTCCACTGCCACGCGCCGATAGTCCTCCAGCATCAGGGGTGCCAACGCCTTGGTGGGGTACTGGGAAGTGGGGGCCGGGTAGCAACAGGTGGGACAGAGTGAAGGAGGCAATGGGGCAGCAGAAAAGTCAGCAGCAGCCCCTGCGCTCCACCGCACACGCCGATAGTCCTCCAGCATCTGGGGGGCGAGGGCCTTGGTGGGGTACTGGGTGGGGGAGGGGAGGAGGGAAGCGAGGGTTCACGAGAGTGTTGGACAATGAAGAGACGCACTCCCACAGGCGATCCAACATGACACCGGGAATGGCTTGGGGACAGGAAGAGAGGAGCATGAGCACTAGCGCTTACAGGTACACATTTCATCGCTTACATGTACTCATTTCACATTTCACATTTCACATTTCACATTTCACAGCTCACAGCTCACGGCTCACAAGGCAGTTGCAAGCAATGTAAACGGTACGTATGGTGGAAGGTTGAGTAGAGAGGATTGCGGAGCAAGAGCAGAGAGGAAGAGCACTGACCGTCATGTAAACGGGCCCCTGGTAGCCGCACACTTGCGTGAAATACGGCAGCGCTCCGCAGTGGTCCAGATGACTGCTCGCGGGGGGGCGGTGCAGGGAGAGAGTGGGGACGGGAATTGGTGTGGTACGGGGCGGTTGTGGGCCACACAGGAGTCAGTTTTGAGAATCCGCACAAGTGACCCTGGAAGAAGTTTACTTGGGTTTAGGGTTGGGTTGGGAAGCGTGAGCGAGACGGACCGAAGCGAGCCTGAGAGACATGGGTGATGCTGCAGGAGGGATGCTGGCCTGGCAGTGATGAATGGATGAATGGAAGCCGCTAGAAGATCGTAGAAGCATGGAAAAGCGGGAAGGGAGGAGAGGGAGGCACGCACAAGTGGGTGACGATGCCACAATCCATGATGCCCGTGTTGTCCACCGCAATCACTCGCCCTTGCCCAGATCCAGACCCCAGACCCCAACCCCAGACCCCAGCCCATGACCATGAAGCGGGAAGGAGGAAAAGAGGTGCGCACAAGTGGGTGACGATGACACAATCAATGATCCCCGTGTAGTCCACATGCTCTCCTTCATGCCTCTGCCACTGCTGCTGCCCGTGGCTGAACGCGCGGAGGCGGGGGAAGGCGGGGAAGCGGCGCGCATCCTGGTAGCCCATGTGCATGCCACAGTCGAACATCACCGCCCTGCCGCCCACCAGCACCACCACACAGCTCTTCCCCACATCCTGCCCCGCGCCTGGTGGCACAGTGCGGAAACACAGGCACAAGCAACACAAGGAGGAATGGCACCAGGAAGATCAGTGCTGCAGCGGTGGCTGAGGGGCGGAGAAGGCAAAGCAGAGAAAAACAATTGTGGTGGGGAGGTGAGAAGAGTGGAAACGGAGAGTGAAGGCTGGCTTGCTGTGGCCACTGGGTGACTGACCGAGTGGAAGGCACGTGATTTCTGCCTTGTCCTCCCCACCGCCACTAGTGGTACCAGCAGCAGCAGCAGCCCCGCCAGCAGCAAAACTGCCGCTCCTACCTCCGCCTCCTCCCTTTCCGCGACCTCCGCCTCTCCTTCCGCCTCCCCCCCAGCCCCGGCCACCATGCTCCCACCTGCCGCCTCTCCCCTTTCCCTCCACGCCCTCCCCTCTTCCCCATCCTTCTTCTCTACCCCAACCTCCCCCTCTTCCCCCATCTACTCCACTCCTCCCCCGCGCACCTCCCCCGAGCCCGCTCCCCCATTCCGCCCCTCCCCCAACCCCCGCCCCCTCCCCTGCCTCACCCCCCACCCCCCTTCCCCATTCGCCTCTTCCGCCACCGCGTCCGCCCTCCGCCTCCCCCGCGCCTCTCCCCCATTCGCCCCCTCCCTTGCGCTTCTTCCTGCCATGCCGCCCCATGCCGTCGCAACGCTGCCACGTGTCACCCTAATATGCGCCCCCCCTCGCAGCCCCCCGTCATAAGCACACGGATTCCGTTTCCGCCTCGCGCGTTTGAATTCCGAATGCGACCGGTGCCCAATTTGGCCCTCCTCCTCCCCACTCCGTCCCCCGGCCCCTCGTCGTGCCGATTCCCCTTCTTGCGCGGACGTCTGCGCTTATGGGCGATGGGCGGAACGAGCGGCCAACTGGGGAACCAGCGGTGGGGCGCGGAAACGATTGCGGGCGCAGGGTTTGGCGGAGTGGGGGTTTTGAAGCTCGGATGAGGTGCGGGTGATGGATTCGACCTTTGCGTGGTGATACGAATATGGGGCGCAAAAAATGAGCAATCGTAGAGGATAGGGTTAACGTGAAAAGAGGAAAAAGGGGCAAAAAGGGGCAAAAAGGGGCAAAAAGGGGCAAAAAGGGGCAAAAAGGGGCAAAAAGGGGCAAAAAGGGGCAAAAAGGGGCAAAAAGGGGCAAAAAGGGGCAAAAAGGGGCAAAAAGGGGCAAAAAGGGGCAAAAAGGGGCAAAAAGGGGCAAAAAGGGACAAAGGTCAGCATGCCACGCCGATTGTGGGGATCGAACCCACGGCCACGTGGTTAAAAGCCACGCGCTCTACCACTGAGCTAAATCGGCTGTGATAAGAGCTGCAAGTAGTAAATTCATTACTGTTTTGCTGTCCGGCCTTCGATTACTCCCAGGCCCATCATATGTCAACACGCATTCTCACGACAGTTGAGCCATGCAACGATCGACGCGCTTCGCCCCTGCGCGACTCGCGAGTCCTCGTCTCCTCCACCCAGCAATGGCCGCTGAAGCCCCTTCCTCGCGCCCCGCTCCCCCCCCTCCACCATCGACCGTACCTCTCGCTCCCCTCGTCTTGTGCCCCACCCTCTCCACCACCAACCGTCGTCGCCGTTCTCTTGTTTCTCGGCTGCTCGCTCTGCTCCTTTGCTCCCGTGATTCTCTCGAATTCGCCACTCCTTCGCTTCATTTTCTCGAATTCGCCCCTGCCTCACCTCAACCTACACTCGTCCCGCCGTGAATAACGCCGTGAAACGCACTTCATCGTGACCCATGGCGCTGCTATCGGCCCCTCTCACCGCCACCCGTGGCTACGTGCCGTCTGTGGCCCAGCCACTCCCCGCCGCCCGTGCGCGCACCCTCGCCGCATGCGCGCTCCCCTCTTCCGCGCGTCCCCTCCCCGTGAACCGTGCAACACGTCGCTCGTACGCGTTAACGGCGCGCATGCATGGGCGTGGGGGCTGGCTGAGGGGATGGCGCCGTGCGTCTGCTTCTGATGACGACAGTGCCAAAGATACAGCTGATATGGCACGCAGTGAGGATTACACGCCTCAATCTGACGTGGATGATGTTTCTGATGACGTGGCGGAGGCGTCGGCGGCAGCGGCTGAGCTGGCAGCTGAGATGGCGGGCGAGGCTGCGGCTCAGGCCGCCAGCGTGTATGCCGCCACGGCTGCTGCTGCGGGGATGGAGGAGGAGGAGGACGTGGGGGGTGAGAAGGACAGGAAAGCGGAGGGCGATAAGGGGGCGGTGTCAGCTGCAGTGTCTGCTGTTGGCGGTGCTGCTTCCAGTGGGAAAAGGGAGGGTCAGAAGCAGGAGCAGCAGCCGCCCAGTCGTCCCCCGCCACGTCAGCCGCAGGCCTCCAGCGCGCCAGCTGTGACGGGCCTGCGGCGCACGGTGTGGGGGCAGGAAGGCGTGGAGCCACAGTACCCCCCGTTACAGGAACATCTCACGGTAGACGTGGCGGTGGTGGGCGGCGGCATCAACGGGCTGAGCGTGGCGTACGCTCTCCTGGATAAGCACCGCAAGGCCAGGGGCGCGGGCGGAGGAGGGAGGGGAGGCAAGGACCTGTCGGTGGTGGTGCTGGAGGCTCGGGCCATCGGTATGCCCTAATCGTGTTGCTCTGTATCACATTGCTGTAGCACCGCTCGCATACCACTTGCATGTGTGACCGTTGCTTAAGTACTCTCTGCTCTGCTCGTGACCATTCGTCACCTGCTCAAGCGGCACGTGCAACCCAGCCTGACTGATGCTGCGACTTTACATGCATCTGACCCGTTGTCCCATTGACGTGCTTCTGTGCAGGTTCGGGCCAGACGGGGCGCACCACGGCGTATCTCATGCCATGGAACGACGACTACTACAGTGTGCTCGAGCGCCTGATGTCGTTGCCTGCTTGACATTACCCCGACGCATTTCCTTCTTCACTCCTCCCCTCCTCACACTCCTCACATGCCTCTGCAGGCTCCGGTCAAACCGGCCGCACCACAGCACATCTCATGCCGTGGAATGACGACTGCTACAGCGTGTTCGAGCACCTGTTGCCTTGGCTTGACATGAGTCCGACACTTTTTCCTCCTCCCCTTCGCTTGCAGGCTCCGGTCAAACCGGTCGCACAACGGCGCATCTCATGCCATGGAACGACGACTACTACAGCGTGCTCGAGCGGCTCTTCGGGCGGCGCTGGGCGGCGCTGGTGGGCAGGAGCCACGTGGCGGCCATTGATTGGGTGGAGCGTGTGGTGCAGGAGCATGGCATCGAGTGCGAGTTTGAGCGCGTGGACGGGTACCTCTTCCCTCATGACAACTCCGATGAGGCCAACCGCAAGATGCTGGAGGTGGGTGGGTGGACGGGTGGGTGGGCAGGTGGGCGGGCACATGCGTGCGTGGGTGGGATGGGTGGGGCTCGTTAGTCCAAGTCACGTGGGCACGGCGTATGGCTGCATGCCGTTGATGGGTGGGTGGTTGCCTGGCCTGTCAGCACATCTGCCTCATAGCTCAGAAAAGAAAAGAAAAGAAAAGAAAAGGAAGGAAGGAAGGAAGGAAGGAAGGAAGGAAGGAAGGAAGGAAGGAAGGAAGGAAGAAAGAAAGAAAGAAAGAAAGAAAGAAAGAAAGAAAGAAAGAAAGAAAGAAAGAAAGAAAGAAAGAAAGAAAGAAAGAACCCGCCTTCTTCGCCTCCTCCCTTGATCCCTCTTCTTGCTCTAACTCACCAACTCCCTAATTCCCTTATTCACCAGGAGCTGGCGGCGTGTGAGCGCATCGGCCTCACAGACACCTCTCTGGTGGACCTGCAAGGCGACCCCGCCCTCGGCTCGCTCTCCTCTGCCCTGTGCTTCCCCAACGCTGCTGACTTCCACCCGCTCAAGTGAGTGAGAGCGCCCGCAAGTAAGCACTGCTCAAGCGGTCGCCGCGCAGTTGTGCCTCTGGTCGCCACGTCGCTGAAAGGGCTGCTCACTGCTCATGCAATGTCACACATGAGCGCTTGGGGGAAGAGATTGCATGCGCTTGGGGGAAGAGATTGCATGCGCACTGCCCATGCATGCCTGCAGCGCTTCCCACGTTTCTCATGCAAGTTCTCATGCATCTTCATCTTCTAAGTCATGCATTTCCTGATTCAGGTACCTTCATGGGCTAGCAAGTGTGATCACGGGCATGGGAGGGAAGATCCACGGGAACACGCGCGTCAGAAGAATGCATGCAACCACTCTCTCCCTCATGCATGTGTGCCTCTCCCTCTCCACGCCTTCTTCCACAGGTACTTGCAGGGGCTGGCGAAGGCAGTGACAGCAATGGGAGGGAAGATCTACGAGAACACGCGGGTGATCCGCAACTCCTCGCTCTCCACCACTCTCGAGCTCAACACGAGTGTGCGCGTGACAGCTGGCAGCGTCGTATTGGCCACCAACTCGCCCATCAACCACAACCTGGCGGTGCACGCGAGGCAGAGCGCCTACCGGACCTATGTGGTTGGGCTGGCTGTGCCCAAGGGCAGTGTGCGGTGAGTTAAGAGGTGTGGAGTGCGGTGCTAGCAGGTCGCCACTGGGCAGAGCGCCTACAGGACCTATGTGGTTGGACTGGCTGTGCCCAAGGGCAGTGTGTGGTGAGTGGTTGAGAGGTGTGGAGTGCGGTGCTGACGGTCACTGCTGGTAGGTCGCCACTGGACAGAGCACTTACAGGACCTACATACTGGGGCTGGCAGTGCGTGGTGAGTCTTTGGGAGGCGTAGTGTGCGGTGGCCTGTGGTGAAGTCAGGTGATGGTGAAGTTAGGAGACGTTGTTGCACTTACCAGCTTCAGGCGAGAGTTGCCGAGTTGCAACAGCAAGAGGAGCTACAGCGAGCTGCAGCTGCTGCGTCTCCTCTTGCCGTTGCAACTCTGAAATTTTCGCCTGAAGCTGGTATGTGCAACAACGAGGGCAGTTGAGAAAGGGCATGTGAGAGGAGAGCAAGTGAGAGGGGGACAGGTGAGTGTAGGGTAGGTGAGAGGAGGGTTGGTGAGAAAGGGGTTGGTGAGAGGAGGTTAAGTGTGGGGGGGCCAGCTTCCTCCTTTTCATCTCCTTTCCGTTTCCTCTCTCCTTCCTCCCCCCTGCTTCTGCCCCCTACTCCTCCCTCTCTCTTCCCTCCCTCCTGCTTCATTCCCACCCTTCCGACCCTATTTTCCCCCACCATCCGCGCTCAGAGGTGGGACACAGCGTCTCCCTACCTAATACACTCCCTCCTCCCTCTCTCCTCCCTCTTTCCTCCCCACCCCTCACCCTCTCGCCCTCTCTTCCACCTTAAAACTCTCCCCTCCTGCACCAGCCGCGCCCAATGGTGGGACACAGCGTCCCCCTACCTAATACACTCCCTCCTCCCTCTCTCCTCCCTCTTTCCTCCCCACCCCTCACCCTCTCGCCCTCTCTTCCACCTTAAAACTCTCCCCTCCTGCACCAGCCGCGCCCAATGGTGGGACACAGCGTCCCCCTACCTAATACACTCCCTCCTCCCTCTCTCCTCCCTCTTTCCTCCCCACCCCTCACCCTCTCGCCCTCTCTTCCACCTTAAAACTCTCCCCTCCTGCACCAGCCTACGTGCGCATCGCGACCAACCAACACCCTTCCTCTCTCTAATGGTCCTTTCATTGATGTAGGCGGTGGTTTTCCCTCTCTCCCTCTCCCTTCCCTCTATCCACCTCCTCTCCTCCCCCACTTCCCCTCCCTCCCCCAACCCACCAGCCGCGCCCAGTGGTGGGACACGGCATCGCCCTACCACTACGTACGCATTGCTACCGGCCCGAGCGAGGCGGAGACAGACACGCTCATAGTGGGGGGCGAGGACCACCCTACGGGTGTACTGGCGCCTAAGGAGTACCCGCAGGCATATACACGGCTGGAGAAGTGGGCCAAAGCGAGGTGGACGTGCGCAGGAGACGTGGTCTTCAGGTGGAGTGGGCAGGTGGGTTCTGGTTGGGTGAGTGCTGGGGCGCGTGGGTGCTGGCGCCTGGGGAGTACGCGCAGGCATACGCGCGGCTGGAGAAGTGGGCCAGGGAGAGGTGGACGAGCGCTGGACGAGTGGTGTTTGTTTAGGTGGACTGGCCAGGTAAGAACCCTCTTGGGCTCTCTTCCCTTGGATTTGATGTGCGTGAAGGGGGACGGGGATGCTGCCGCATCAAAATGCACTTGCTATCTTGGGGATTCTTCCTCCTGCTTCCCTTCTGCACGCTGCTGTATGAGCCAGTAGATCTCCCTGAACTGTGAACGATTTCTTAGACTTCTCAAAAGTTGTATGAGCCAGTAGATCTCCCTGAACTGGACAGCAAGAACCGTCTTATGCTGCTCTCCTGCCTCTCCCACCGCATGCCTCCACACCACACCACACTTAACCCCTCTGCACGCCAGGTGTACGAGCCAGTGGACCTCCTGGGGCTGTACGGCAAGAACCCTCTCGTGAACCGGCCATCAAAGGACGTGTACATTGTGACAGGTACAGACAGGGCGTGACAGGTACAGACAGGGCGTGACAGGTACAGACAGGGCGTGACAAAACTTTCACTCGAAACGCACCCACACTGCTTGTACACTGTGAGAGGGTGAGATAACACCCGTTTGCTCATCCAGTCCGGTATCAGATGGCAACAAATAAAAAACGCACCCGATAAATGATGGTCACACACGCTGCTCTCTCCGTTGTGTCTCTTTTGCCGCGTTGCAAAAGTGGGTCTGCAGCTGCACTTGCAGCTCTTTCTCTTTTCCTCCTCCCCCCTCGCCTCGCACCTCATAATCTCTTACCATGCTTTTCATCATGCCTGTCCACCATCCTGTGCCACCCGCCCTCCCACCACCCCCTCCTACCATGCCTCTTCCTACTGTGCTGCTTCCCCCCAGGCAACAGCGGGCAGGGCATGACGGGCGGCACCATATCGGGGCTCGTGGTATCGGATCTGATTCTGTCGGGGCGCAGCGAGTGGGAGGAGCTGTACGACCCGCGCCGCCTGCCTCCGCTCTCCCAGGAGACAGCTCAGAGCATTGCGAGCATCACTGCACACACTGCCCAGGTGTGTGGAAGCATGCAGCATGCACGCATACCACTCACGTGTCGGGGCACAGTGAATTGGAGGAGCTGTATGACCCGCGCCGCCTGCCTCCACTCTCCCAGGAGACGGCTCAGAGCATCGCAAGCATCACTGCAGACACTGCCTAGTTGTGTGGAAGTACGCACCATAACACAACACCACCACTCAGATGTGAGGTAGCATGCAGCGAGTGGGAGGAGCTGTATGACCCGCGGCGCCTGCCACCACTCTCCCAGGAGACAGCTCAGAGCATCGCGAGCATCACTGCAGACACGGCCCAGGTGTGCAATTCGTTAGGGGAATGGGATGAGAATCCTTATCATTCTCCCAGGGGACACCGTAGACCATTGCGAGCATCACTGCAGACACGGGTCAGGTATGAAGCAGTGCATGTAAGATGCCAAAAGGGTGCATCTTCTACACCTCTCCCCACTAACCTTCGTCATCACTCTCCTGCCACCATCTCGCACCACTACACACCACACCAGCTCATAGACGGTCAAATCCCCACCCCCTTTCCCCTGCCGTACGTCTCACCAGGGCTACGCATTCGACCTGCCAATCGTGCCTGGAGATGTGTGGTCGGTGGACAAGGTGAAGCCGAGGGAGGGCCTATCCTTCTCCATGCCACCGCTCATTGGACCTCCTGCACACCCCCCTCCCCTTTCCCCTGCTGTCCTTCTCACCAGGGCTACGCCTTTGACCTGCCAATCGTGCTGGGAGATGAGCGGTCGGTGGACAGGAGGAGAGCTTAACTTCCATGCTACCATTCAATTGACCACTTCGATTTCCATCCCTACTCCGTCCCTCTCACCAGGGCTACGCATTCGACTTACCAATCATCCCAGGAGATGAGCGATCGGTGGACAAGGTGAAACCAGGGGAGGGTGCGCTGGTGGCAGTGGGGCTGCACAAGCAGGCCGTGTACCGCACTGAGGGGGGCGAGCTGAAGCGATACTCAGGTGAACACGCAGGGTGGAACACAAATTGCCTGGGGTTATCAGGTCAATGCTCTCAACTCGTCACGGTGCAGACAAGATTGGACTTGCCTCCAGTGCAACATGAATCACTAGCAAAGGTGTCACCCCCACTGAAACATGGCTCTTGCTTTGGAATGGATGTCTCGACAGAGTGATGCCCTTGCAGACTCTCAACCTTATCCTTTCCTCCTTCCCATGTCCAACTCCCTTCCCACGTCTCCCTCCCTCCCCACATCCGTATCCTCTCCCCAGCCATCTGCCCGCACCTCAAGTGCGCAGTGAGGTGGAACCCCAACGACAAAACTTTCGACTGCCCGTGCCACGGGTCTCAGTTTGACACATCAGGGAGGGTGATTCAGGGCCCAGCCAAGGCCAACCTCTCCCCTGTGTCCGGAGATGGCTGCTGTGGTTGAAGAGGTGGGGATGACTGTAGGGAAAGAGGTGGACCGCAGACATCAAACGGCTATGGTTGTTCGAGAGGTGAAGAGAGCGTTGGTAAACTCTGAAATCCTGATTGTATGCTACCGTACATGTGCTGTACATTTGTAACTGACTGATGCGGTCAACCTGTCCCGCTCACTTCAGCGAATCAGCACCCTAATCGACTGTTGACTTAACTTTATTTGGGTGTAGTGTGTCAATCTATGGAACGAGAATTGATTGAATTGAACAGAAGTTGGGTACAAGTACTAACCCTAATTGGGTTGTACCCATTATGGGCTACCCCACTACAGCCTACACAAACTAAGTACTATGACGGTTTTGGCACACCCCCATAGGCAAAGTGGGGGAGAACAAGTGGTCACAAGACCAGTCAAGAAAAGCAAAGCAAGCTCAGGGTGGATCACGAAGTCAACACACATTCCGAGCACAAGCAAATGGCCACAAGGCCAGTTCACGTGCAGAGTTATATAAAAGAGAACAAACAGTACAGTGATCAAAGCCTAGCAAGAGTAAGCATGCTGGAATATATATAGATCACAGTACAACAGAGTCATGCAGTGAGGCAAAGTAGGCACAAGGCCTAAAACAGTAGAGAAACGCTGATGATCACCAGACTGAAGTGCCTTGGTGAATATATCAGCAGTGTTGGCCCGAGTGGCCACGTAAGCAAGACGAAGTTGACCATTGCTGCTGCAACTCTCGAGCAAGTACCGCAGAGCGATGTGCTTCGTTCTGTGCTCCAGTCTGTGCTCCTGACACAAGGCAATCACGGCCTTGTTGTCTACGTACAGAACTGGAGAAGAACGAGGCCGCTCTCCCAAGTCGGTCAGCAGGTAGGTGAGCCAGCGTAACTCCTGTGCAGCCATGGCCCCTGCGTAGATCTCAGCCTCACAACTGGAGTTGAGAACCGAAGACGAGCGGGTAGACCGCCAAGAAACAAAGCCGGAACCAAGGCTGAAGGTTGTAACCATGTGATGACCGCTGCGTAGCTGAGTCGTCAACCCAAGAAGCGTCTGCGTGGACCAGTGAGGACAACTGGAACCCGTCCTCCAAGCACGAGCCCCATGCACGATGTACTGCACAAGTAGCGCAACACCCTCTTAGCGGCCTCCCAGTGCTCTGGTCGGTGTCTCCCGGGCGCAACGTAGCATGCCAGGATGCTAAGAGGGTAGGCAAGGTCAGGTCGAGTGCAGGTCATCAGGTAGATGAGGCAGTCCACAAGCTCTAGATACGGGCCACTTGGCTCTACGGACTCGTCCAAAGGTGGAGCTAGAGAGCGAGTGACCGGTAGGCAGAGGAGTGGACTGTGGCGAGGAGTAGACGGAAGCTGAAGCGCTGAAGGACCTGGTGCACCATGTGTGACTGAGTCAGGGTGATGGTGCGCCGTGTTCTGTCCCGGGTGATCTGCAAGCCAAGATAGCTGCGCAGCTCACCCAGGTCAGTGCAGGTGTGTCTCTTCTGCAGCTCCGACTTCACAAGGGCCAATGCCCTCAATGTCAGTAGTGGCAAAGACCAAGTCGCCGACGTACACGAGGACGTAGAACGGCGGCAGCGAAGTGTTGGTGCGTAGAAACAGCGACGGCGTCAGCGACAGTACAGTGATCAAAGCCTAGCAAGAGTAAGCATGCTGTAATATATATAGATCACAGTACAACAGATTCACGCAGTGAGCAAGTGAGGCAAAGTAGGCACAAGGCCTAAAACAGTAGAGAAACGCTGATGATCACCAGACTGAAGTGCCTTGGTGAAATATATCAGCAGTGTTGGCC